CACTCTTCTGTTTTGGCGATGTTGTCAGCTAGAACCTTCTTCTTAGGATCTGACAATGGGAGATCTTTGAGCCATTTGTTGAAGGCTCGTACCGCAAGAGTTGGAGGCATGTGTTGAGCCAGCCATGGATTGAGCATGGTGGTGCCGACAAGCAAGCAAGAGGGATCGAAACCCGGTGGGGCAGGAGGTGCCGGGTTGTTGTTGGAGTTCCTCATAGAAGCTTGTTGGATGGGTGCGGACGCAGGCTAGAGGCGGAAGGACCCGTAGTTGTTGGTGTGGATGGGTCACCAGTGTCTTCACCCATTCTTTGACGGAGCTGCGCCAATTGGCTTCTGAGTTGGGTAAGCTCATGCTGGGTATCCGGATCAGCTGTACGGGTCGGAACCCAGCTGTGGATGAGATCTGCAATCTGCTGCGCGGCATACTTGGTGTTGTTGGTTTTGTCCAGCAGTTTCCCATCTTGCCGGGCCCGACAGTGGGAGACTTTGTCCAGGTCGACGCCTTTGTTTCTGAGCTGCGTCAAGAGAGCTGTCATGAATACAACTGCTGCGATGTCCCCTGTCGGGATCAGGTAAAGTTCACGACCATGAAGCCAAAAGTTATTGGCTTGTTGATGCAGCAAGGCTGCCACCGGCAACTGCAAAGGATCACACCCCTCAATGTCCAGCGTCTGTGTAAATGCCGATTGGCGAATGCTGCGTGGGAAGGTCAAGCCGTTGATCTTCTGGTTGTCAGTGGTCTTTATCCTCTTGCCAATGAGGATTGAGAACAAACCCGTAGGTGCGATTGACATCTGGGTTCATTGGCCCTCTTGGTGAGGTTGATGGTGGAGTTTCGACAGGACGAGGCTGAGATGACGGGACAGATAGAGTGCCCGGTGAGCATGGTTGTGTCGGTGGACACGCCAGAGTGGGTGAGCAAGGTGGAGTGACTTGGCGAGGAGGAATTGGATATGGCAAAGTTGGAGGTGGTGATGATGAAGGTATTGGTGGAAATCTGTGACTGGGCCATGTGCCCGGAAGTGAAGGTGGATTCTGGTGAAATGATCTGTTCTGCATATAAGGTCCCGACTGGTTCGATGCCAACTGAGGTCGAAACTGAGGTCGTGACATTTGTTGTGAGTGCCAGACAGCCGCTTGCATAGGTCCGCACCATCGAGGAAAAAACGGTAGGTCTTGACGCATTGGCTGAGCGGGTCCACGAGGCTCAGAGCGGTTGCATCCCGGCACCGGTGATCTGGATCTATCAGAATCCGCCATGATGAAATTCAAATTGCAATCACGTTTGGCTGTTGGACACTCGGCAAAACTGCAGGGAAAATGCAAATATGAAATAAAATAAAATTGGAGCAAGGATTACCCTACAACAAAAGAAATCAACAGGTAAACATCATAAATGAAGCCATGAAAATGATACAGCAAAATTAAACATGACACCGGCTGTGCAGTGCGGCTGGTAGTGTTCAATACCTGAAGTCACCTGAGACATGTAAACCTGAGAGCGGTCAATGCAAATTAAGGCAGATTGAGGCAACCGTACTTTTCTTGATCCAAAGCTTGTCCAGGTTTCCCTAGAAATGTCACCTCCGGTTTCCGGGTGAAATCGAAATGAGCTTATAATACACAAAGACCAATGGCCGACACTGAGGTTTTCCTGTCAACGACGTCCTGAGTAGCGATCCTCAGTAGAGAGATAGTTTAAGTCTTCTGAGGATGAAGCGCCAAGGTCGATCTTGTCGATCAAGTTTTGCCACTTCAAGGCCACGAATTTCAATCCCACATGATTGCTGTGGGCAATCGTGTACTTCTCTGACGTGGTGACGATTCCTTTGTCGGCTACGCCGAGCTGGGCCATTTCGTTGCCACCAGCCTTGTAGGCAGTGTGAGCAAATGCTCCTCGATACATCGCCCCAATGATGACTTCTTGTTGTCCTTTCCCTTTCTTCTGGATGGTGTCAAGGAGCTCCCTTGCCACCCATTCTGGTATGGTCTTGTCGCTGTTGGAAACTTCTCTGCCAAGAAAGAAGGCCCCAAAGGTTGGCATGTCACACCTTTGAAGGTTTTTGTGATAAGACCAATTGGCCGGTCTGATCTTGCCCTCAAGGAGGATGAGTTGAGAAGTACGGAGCGACGTTCCGTGAAAGAGTGCATATGTGTGGGTTTGACGTTTGCGAAATGGGGGTGGCATCTGGAAATGACCGGAGTCAAGTAAAGGAAGGACAAGTGCAAGCATGTTGGTTGAGGTAAGTTCATGGATTTGTGCTTGTGTAAGGTCATAGTCAGGAAGGAGATATGTGCTGAAGAGCAACTTTACCGCTTTTTGGATGACCTCTGGAGGAATGCGGTTATCGACCCTGCTTAAGGTCTCGCAGGCCTGTTCGTAGGCTTGGTGATCCATGGTCTGCGATGGTTGAGGACGATCACTTGATGGGATCTCACTGGTAGCTTTCATCCTTTCAGGATGATGTAAGGCATACTTGATGCTCCTGAACCACTCTTCCTTGGAGCCTTCTTGGAGGTTGATGGCCACATGTCCTGGAGGGAAGTTGCCATGAGTACGGGATGGTTCCGAACTCGACGTGTGTGGTGGTTTTTTCTTCTGCCGGTGAGATGTAGTGTGGTCGGATGAGAAGGCAGTGAGAGGTTTGGTTGAGGAGTGGTGAGGATCGTTGGAACTGTCTGATGGTTGTGGGTAGTCGATCCATTTGGATGGATTTGTTGTTCTGGGGGACTTGGAAGAATCTTTCCATTGTCCCCAGGGTTGCCACTGGTTGGTGGACACGTGGTCGTAGTGATATGACTGGGAGTGAGCGTTGGTGTGATGGAAAGACTGTTGTGGGTGGTGTTCCCACAGTGCAGGTTGAAGGTTGGCAGGTGGATGGGTGTGGTCAATGGGTGGTTGATGACCTTGTGCAGGATGTCGTTCTCCTTCTCGACGATGTGGAGAAGCTGAGCGTAAGGTAATGGTGGTAGCTCGGCTTCGTCGTCGTGGAGGTTCCCTTGGAAGAGGAACGTGGCCGTGAAGAGCGACGAACTTTCCGTGAGGATTTGTGACGACGAGGGCTGCGGGGGATGGAGACTGGTCGTTTGTCAGGTCTTCTGGACTCTGATCTCTGGGATCGGTGACTGGAAGTTGGATATTCAGCAGGTGGGTGGAAGTGACTGATGTGGTGTGGATGGATTGGAGTGATTGGAGGTGTGGGTGCAGGAGGTGGATTGATATTGCGCTCCTGGGTCTTGCCCACGAAGGCTTTCATGCTGGATTCAACTGTGTTCTTCATCTGCTGCATCATCTCTTCAGGATTGAAGGATGGATTGGATCCAGCTTGAGTGGCGGTAGGTGCCACTGGTGTTGGAGGATCTGGCACTTGGGGCCCTGGTGGTTGTGGAGTAGGTGGAGTGGACATGGCGTGTGCCTGTGGAGGAGGTTGATGGAGAGGGAGAAGTTGCTGAAGATGTTGGATATGGGACTGAGCCTGTGAAGTAAGCTGTTGATTGAGGATGGCATTTTGCTCTCTAAGAGCTGCAATCTGAGCCTGAGTCTGAGCTTGAGACTGAGCTTGTGACTGCTGATTCATCATGTTGCCTCCACAAAATTGACCTTGAAGTCCCATCGTTTGCGGACTCCAGAAGTTCCACATGGTGTCGGGGACGGCAGGATACCGTCCGGGAAACATGGCAGCACTGTCAGGTTAAGTAATCTAAAAACAAAACTTTCACATGACGCATCCACATTGCATGCAAAATTCGTGATAAGGCTCAAAGGCCCTCGGCTTTCATTTCACAACCCTCTGGACAGCTTACGTGTTCAACCCCTGAATTCCGTGCACAATTGAACCTCACCAGAGTAACCAAAAAGAAGTGACCACACCTGGAACTGGAAAGCATGTCCTGTTGCCTGGAGTTTCATGTAAAAAGGGCTGCGGTCAGTCTCTTGAGATAACAGAAGGATTGTTGTCGCGGCTTCAAGCTACGCAGCAGCAGGTCAAAGAAATGGGTGAGTCCCAGAAACAGCGGGCCGTTGTTCAACCAAACGACTTCGACAGGGTGAGAATCGAAAATTGGCCAACTGTTTCACTTTACTTAGACGAATTACCAATTCAAAAGTGTAAATTCAGACATCAGGTCGTTACATCCACATTTTGCTTAGAAAAGCATTCCCCGAGGGGTTCATGCCACCTTGACGAATCCAGCATGAATCACACACTTGCTCAGAAACATCTTATCGAATTACTGATGTGGAATGCATCGTATGTGCAAAAAACACTCCAGTTAAACCTGACAGGAAAAATTGGTTGACCAGGCGTGGGAGCCTGTGTGAAGAAAAACTTGCAATGTCCGGGCAAGATAAGTCAACTCGTTCTGATGCAGCTCAGCAAATTGTAAATTGAATCAACTGACCGGTTCTGGGCTTAGCCGGATGCCATCCGCGAAAAAAATGAGGTTGTTAAAGTGATCTTGCAAGCTATGTCCACGACATCCATGCCAAGATCTGCAGGTACAAGTGGTTGATCAGACCACTCATCCACCGAAATGCCATAGCTTCGTTGGACTGGATAGGCAAATCGGCTCCAGTCCCCCTGCTCTAAATCATGACGTGAAAAAATCATGACGTGAAAAAATCAAGTCTAACACGCAGTGAAAAACCAAAACATCAAGTAGAGGTTTTACATCTATTCAGATGTTCCACACACACACACACCTCTCGAACCCACCCCGAACCCACCCCGAAGATAATCTCCGTTGGCTGTACAAGCGACGACGAATCAAGCGTCCTGAGATATACAAATAGATCCTACATTTTGCATGTTTGCCCTTCCCTTTTTTTGTGTGAATGTGAATATTATATATATATATATATTTATATGCACACACATAGTCACATATTCCTTACTCTGCTGCCTGGTTGGAAGTGGCAGCTCCGGAATCATCGCTGCTCAGATAAACATACTATCGAGATCTATTGAGACCTTCATCGGGACTCAGAATGCCCTGATGGGCCTCTTCCTCCTGCAGTTCCGCCACGCGCTTGCGAAGTTGCGCAGCCACCTGGCCATTGGAACAAGACTGCAAAGCTGTCATCCTTGCTCCCACGGATGCATCCACACCTGCTCCAAGTCGTCGGCTCTAGCGCTACGTTCCAAGGCATTCACTTGTGCCTTCAAGTCCTTCATACGCACAAGAATATGGAAGCTGCACTCCCAGCGACGTTCCCAACCTATACCGGTTTGTTTCTCTGCCAATCTTCCTTCTTTGGAGATGAAACTATTCAAAGCATGAAATCTACTGTTCATGCCGAATAGATGGACAGGTACTGCTTTCTTTCCTTTTTTTGTGTACAAGACTTTGCCTTCGGTCCAAGATTCTTCAGATTAAATGGGACTATAAAAGATATGACGCTATAACATGTATATACAACATGTCATATGTATTTATTTCGATTTATATACATATCGATGGCTTGGAAGATCTGTGAGAAAGCAGCTTTCAATCAGGACACAGTATATTAGAAATACGAATGTCGAGTAAATGTTCATCCTTGTTGGTTGACTAAAAAACAGTATTTCTCAGGATAATGGCCATACTCCTCTGCGTTCATCATCTTCGTCTGCAAATATTTCTGTTCTACAATCCCAAAGTCCTCCACTTCTGCACGGACAGCTTGCAGCTCTCTAGGTGGGTGGGCCTTTGAAATTCACAAAGTCACCATCAAGGTCCACGCTGTTCTTACATGTTGGTGCAACTATGCGCAAAAGGAACATACCTACTTCTATCTCCCAAAATACCTTTAAAAAAAAACAAAATCGCAAAGGCTGGGGCAAGGCGGCCACAGAGGGAGCCCGCAGCAACATCATGCCAGCTCCTGAAGCTTCATATGTCACTGGGATTGAAAGGATTTGAAAGGGACACTGCGCTGAGACTGTCAGACAGGAGACATTTCACACAAGCTTTGGTTACCTTGCATCCCTCTGCAGCTGCAGCGTGCTACGGGTTTCGCACAAGAATCTGTAAGGCATTCTCTATGCTCGTTCAACGGTCTTTTTCGCTCTCACACTTCAAACAGTTCGGTCTTTTCCGGACATCTCTTGCTCAACATCCACCAGAAACCCCTCTGTGCACTCCTGCACTTCTCGCTTTCTAGGGCTTGCTGCAGGCCATTCGCTGCAGCCACCATGAGCTTACACTGGCTGTGGAGGTGTTGAAGGTCGGCACTTCTTGGATCTGACAACACCAACTGGAGAGACTGTCGAAATGGCTCCATGGTCTGCATGACTTCTTGGCATTGCAGGGCTGCCCATCCGTTCGACCTCCTGAGGCCATAGGAAATCGTGTCGCCTGAGAAGCTGCTAAAGCTTCCCTGCCTAGAACCTAGAAGTATGGGCCAAGGCGACTTCCCCGCAGTTTTTTCAGGGCTCAAAGATTCAGCACTGGCAGCCCGCATCTCTCTGCCTTTCTCGCGTTTTGGAAGGAGTCCAGTGATGCCAGTGGTTCCAGTACTGTTTCCAGTGTTTCCAGTGTTTCCAGTGTCGATTTTCGGCGAAGGACTGGGACTTTTGATTTCTCGCTCGGTCTTCCATTGAAGTCTCGGTGATCGCCTGGGAGATGGCGACGCCTTCTCCGGTTGGGACCACGGGGATCGCCGGGGACCCGGTACAGCGCCACGTGTCGTCGGGGACACAAGCCGCGAGGCTGCACTAGCCGAAACCACAGGCGCAGGACCGGTAGAACCTGCAGTCAAACTTTGGGATTGCACTTTCCAAGAAAAGTTTGAAAGAGTCGGATCTGGTAGTTGGAATGGATTGAGCATTCCGTGGACAATGGCTGAAAACCTGGAAGCAAAAATGCCAAATCGTGCCAAATCCCCACTGGACAGATCTGGCCTGTGCGTTGAAGCACCGGGCTCAGAGGCAACGAGTATCTTGGCTGCTTCATGGAATCGGTTGCACAAACAAAGCCCTCTCTCTTTTTCATGACTGATTGGACTTAGGACTTCTTTGTGTTGTGCATCCAGTAAATACTAGGACTCGTAGCTGCATGACTTTCCGAAGAAGTTACAGATCATTGGGTGAGGAAAGACCAAGTTGTACAAAGCATTCATGTTTGAGCCTGCGCCATACAGCAAAGAAGAAGCAGCTTTCAATCAGATGAATCTCATGACAAATCACGAAGGCTGCAGCTCCAAAGACCCAACACTGGTGATACAAGAGGCCCAAGCTGCAACGAAGCGCTGTGGTTTTGGTTTTCTGTGGCTGAATCTGTCTATTCTGTCTAATCACAGAATTGTCACGTATTGTCACGTTAAATTGCCACAGGGAGGTCGCGTCTACAGTTACACGCCAAAAGGTCCGCCCCCCAGTTGCACCACAAAACCAGGCGCAAGGCCTGCGATCCTGGAAGAAATTTAAACACAAATCAGAATTTTCATCAGAATCACACCAGTGAGTTCTACTTCTTCACATTTCACTGGTGAATTCCAGTGGCTCCGACGAATACAGCTCTCAAGGATTCTCAATGTACACGAACGCGCTCAGGCGCCTGCCAGGTAGAAAGTTCTTCTATTTCAGGTCAGCAAAGTAGAAGCCACTCGGAAACAGCACATCTTTTGAGAGTGAAGCCCATTGAACACCAGTCAGTCAGTGTCAATCCCATCAAATTGACCACGTTGCCTTCTGGGGTTTCCACGTCATTTCCTGCGACTGGTGAAGGCAGTTGCAAACAAACATGTTGATACTCAAAACACGAAGGTAGGAGGGACTCAAAATCATGCTTTGTCTGACTGGAGTCCAAAATGACGCAAGGGAATTCGTTCCAAGTGTGGTACAATGCTTCCAATGCTGCCATTTCAACATAGTGCAGTCAAGTCGAATGCAAAGGTATCATCGCTCCGGCAGCATCTCGATTGGAGGTGGAGGTGGAGGCCTGGTAAATGGCCTCAGGTCTCCAGAATAGTTTAGATATGGGGATGGGTCAAAACCTACCCCTGGTGAACATCAAAATAGCTGGGATTTATGGATGTTCATCCCCCTAAAAATGGTATGTATTGATCCATACCCATATGTTCAGAATATTCCAAAGCTTGCAGAGCCCCAAATCTCTCAAAGCATGCCCCGCATCTCGCCCATCTCGCAAAATTTCTTGCTGGCGGAGCTGCTTGATTCTGCAGTCCCTATACCATCCTATATACGTGCACGACGCAGGTTTCATGAGGTTTCACCCAATAGGACGTCGAAGTCTTTCCCTGCAAAAATTGCCAAATGATATAAATGATTAGGGAGCAATGGCGGCAAATGGAGCCACTACTTGTCTTCGGGGACAACTCTTAGAATCTCCAGCATGCTCCTGTTGGGTAGTCTTTGAACCTCTCAAAAGCAGTTGTCTTATCTTGCAAAAAGCCACAGCATGGCGGCTAGAAGTTGGCTGCTTAAAACAGGATGTTGTAAGACCAGAAAGTTCCTGCTCAGCTCAGCAGGATGTCAAAAACGTTGGAAGAGATAGGGCCATCTTTCACTTTGCTCTCGATGGCTTGCCACAAGTCCATGACGCTCCTCGCAATATGCTTGTAACAATGCATAACAGTGCAGAGTGTTGCTTTTTCACTGCTTCTCAACAGAAATGAAACAAACAATAGGCCTTGTGTATTGCAAACACTTGCAAGCTGCATTTCACGTTGCCGAATCCACAAAGGGCAATTCAAATTCCAACCGGTGCTACGTTTCACAACGTTTCACAACTGTCGCTTGCCCTCGCTCCCGGACCCATAAGCTGCCACGATGTCTGAGATGCCCTGAGACGTGGCAAGCTCGTCCAACTGTGGAGCTTTTAAGACATCGAAGACATCGAAGACATTGCAGAAAATAGGCACAGCCCATTGAGTCTAATGTCTCTTTATGTCTCTTTATTCCTGGGAATTGGAAGACTGATTATTATATATTATAATTTATAATCTGATCATACACTGCTTCAAACTTTGGCAAAGACTAAAACTGCTGCGCCTTGGCTCCACAAACGCTTTTGTCTGGGACGCAAGGACGCCACTGGAAATAGGCATTGTCCGGCATCCAATACCTAGGGTTGCTAGGGTCGCTAGGATCACACGTCTTCAACTCATCGACTCAGTGTGGAATCCAGCTCAGGCAGGAGACGCACTCTTTGGTGGGTCAGGGTCTGCACAACGTCGGATGCATTCTTCACAAGCAGCTCCAGGAAGAACATAGCATTGATTGCCAGGGTTTTCTGTGAAATCTGAGTAGATATAGTAGTCCTTGACAGCTCTAACTGCCGAGCGAGTGAAGGCACCAAAATTCATTTGTCCATGAGAAAAGATGATTCATAGATGATGTCAATTGTTGGCAGTACTCTCCATCTGTCACATTGTCTAATACGTTTCTTCGCTTCGACGCTTTACAAAATTCAGTGCGATGTACCCAATATGTGCAGCTGCAAGTCCAAAGGCAGAGGAGCATTCCAGGTGGTAGCAGCCAAAGCCTTCACTTGTCTTTTGGTCTCTGAGATGGCCATGTCATGGTCGAACCGCTGATATCAGCTGATCAACATGGCGCAAAGAAGCTCTACACGGTGCTCCGTCGAATCAAGTTCCCAGAAAGACATCCAGCCTGCCCGAGCCACACTGCAAGAAAGCCCAGTTGGGAGTCTCCCCACCTCAGTGTAGCTTTGGCACTCAGTAGACTCAGTAGTCACCCTATCTTTCTGATAGATCTGATAGATACTATGTCATGTTGTCTTTTTTTTGTTCTGGCGTTTCGTCCGCATAAAACAACACTCAGTCAAAGACAGTCTTCACAAAACAAATGCTTACACGTTTACAATCTACATATGTATAATTATATATATATATATGTAAAGATATGTGTATATATATATGTACATCAATAAACTCTCTTTTGCAAGCCAGCTACCACAGTCCGGCCAACCATGGTCCAGCTCCAAGCGACGAGACCAGACTTGTCAGCGCTGGTTGCACATCCTCGCTGTCAAACATTGGGCATGGACGGCATGGATGATGGGATTTCGACCAAAATCAGTCAAACACATTTCAAAGTAGCCATGGAAAAGCATTGAGATGCCTCAAGATGCATGAAAATGCCATGTTTTCACAGCGTTATTGTCAAGCTGTCGAGGTGTTTTTGTCATTCTCCTGCCTCATCGTAAGAGGTCAGGGCCATAGAGCGGTACCAGGCTCGCACCTGAAAGTGACTTGTCAATCTTGTCACACCTGTTGAGTCTATCCGCCAAGACGGGATACTGAAGTCCAGTTTCGATCACGATTACCGGATTACAGTAGTCTTTTTCTCAAAGACAGAAAGTGCCTGAACTTTCTCAAGAAAGCTATTTCTCTGCAGGCTCCCCTAGCTACACAGAACTCACCATCCCAGCCCAGCGCCTGTTTTTCAAAGGACCACTTTCCCGTACCCATGTCTCTTTGTGCTGGCAATCGATTCCTCCTGGCCAGGTGTAGATTCACCATGCTCTCCTCGAAGAAGGCTTGGCTCTCACTCATGAAGACAACAAATGGCCTGGTCAAGTTGTAAAGCTCAAGATGCAAGGCGATGGATACCAAATTTTGGGGATTTCCAGGGTATTAAGGCTAAGGCTAAGATTTCTGTATGTTTCTGTCATGCGTCAACTCACAAGCCCACAAGTCTCGCAGCAACTCACCTCGAAGAGCTGATCTTGTAAGTGGCACCTGCCAGTGGCACTTCAACCAGATCATTGTCCAGCGGTACATCGACCAGTTCCATGGACGAGTCAAAGCGTGCGGTGCCATCCAAAGTTTTGAAGAAATTTCTGGCTCCCAGGAACCACGCTGGCTGGCGGAGTTGTGGAAAGGTATGACTTTGTGACAAGAAATAGGCCAAAACAGTGACCTCTGGAAAGTATACGGATAAGCGCTCATCCTGACCACCCCCAAGGCCACAGGCACCCGCATCAAACAAATAACCACCAAACCAGGATGCTGAAATGTCCTGTGTCGCTTGTCCTTTCAAGCCACCAATCATAAAGTCGACCCCTGGAGCATCATAGGGTCGAGGCTGGCAGCCTTCTGCTGGAACCGGATCGACGTTCTCCAAGGGGCCTGCTCCCGTGTCATAATCGCAGACACGCAGTCCAGCACTTGACATTTGGACTGATTCGGCTGTAGCCTTGTCTTTGACCTCCTGAACAGAGGGGGCCACATTTGCCTTCGCAGTCAACAAGATTGGACCTTGTCCACCATTGGCGAGTGTTGGATCAGCAGAACAGGCCGCCAACAGGCTTGCAAAAGCTTTTCGGAAGTCACCCTTTCTGGGGCACATCTTCATGAGACGACGGAGCCCGCTGTTGTAGCCTGGTGTCTCTGCACCAAAGAAGCTCTTCGCCGTGATGTGGCACAGCTGTCGCCTGCTGTAGGCCACCCATCCACCATGTCCCAGCTGGTCGTCGTCTTGTTCTGGCCATGGGACCAGCACATCCTTGTTGCCAAGGTCACCAAAGGGTTTGTCGTTTTCAATAAAGGTCTTCAACCAGGCAGCAACGTCGTCCACTGAACCCAAATGCCCAAATGGATTCTCCTTTCCTTCGAATGGTTCACCTCGGCTGTACAATCCGCACTATCTCACACACTTCACATACATTTGACACACCCCAAGAAAAGATAAGAAAAGAACAACCAGGAAGACAAAAAGCAAACGCACAAACAAAAATTAATCTGAAAATGACCAAACATCAAACAAGTATATAAAAAGCACACTAATCAGTCAAGTTAACAAACGAACAATAAAGAGCCAAATGAACAAACAAAGAGACAGGCTGGAATTGTCAGGCAAACGGATGGACAAATGTACCACGCAAACAAAGCGAGTGGGGTCCTCTTGATGCCACCAAGATTCGCAGCTTCCGCTTGATCCTTCGAAGGCTGGTGGGAACTGCGGTCCACTTGAAAGCCATGGATGCCTGGAGATATGACAAAGCGACGAATTCTGCGCGTCTAGGTTTTGGACTTGGGCATCTTAGCACCCCTCAACTGTCCGGATTGTTTTGCATTCTATCCTTTGCTGCAACTGCAAGCAACGCACACATGGAACTTTGCCTTGTTGGACAGGTAGACACCACTCGTGGATGTCGCCGGAACTGGTTGTTTCGCCTACAGGTGCATGAGATTCTAGAAGCATCTAGAAGCCAAGGTTTTGGAGATGGGTTTACCGAGCCCGGTAATAAAAAAATCTGTGTGGAATTAGCGCAACTGTTGGCTAAGCGACTTTACTACTTGCTGTGTCTCGTGAGGTCCGCAGGTTGCAAATAGCCAGCCGGATCTCAACGGGAACACAGTACACTGATGTACACTGTACAAGCGGCCCCATCCTATGGCATCCCCGCCTGTATCAGGTTTGGGATTTGCAGAAGTCGCAAAGCACAGTTGTCATCGTTGCACTCATCATCTGCAGCAGTGTCTGTGGTCTGTGGCTACTCACTCGGCTACCGGCAATCAGTATGAACATATGAGGCGCCGTCAAAATCAATTGTTGATGCTTGGTAGGAAAATACAAGTTATCGCTTTTTGGGGGGGGCCCTATCGCTTTCCATGGTTTTGCACAAATCTACATGTTCTATAGATTTATCATGACTTTGGATCCATACTGGAATCTATTCTGAACAAGCACCACAATGAACCAATCGCACTCAGGACTTCCTTTTTCAATTCCCGTCGGAGTCAGAGATGTCTGCAGCGTTCGAATCCTCCTCACTGCTCGAAGATGAGCTATTGCTGCTCTCAGCGAGACGCTCTTTCCTTCGTTGGCGCTTTGCCTCGAAGTCCGCACGCTTTCGCTGCAGCTGCGCTTCCGTCAGTGGCGCTCTGTGACGGAAGTACATCACGTTTCGATCAAGAATGTGTTGCTGTGCTTGCTGTCGCTTTGTAAGCGTTGTTTCTTCGTTGCGGGCCAAGGTCTTTGGATTGGTATTCCATGCGGCTTCTCCTGCTCCGTAGTAGCCGCGCCTGTAATCGCCACTGCTTTCTGTGTCCTCATCGTATAAGCAAGAAGTCAAATCAGTCCCTACTGTTTGTGTGCTGAAAACGAAGTTTCGGACCTTGACTCCGTACCGGTAGATTTTCTGATCAGCTGGCGTAGCACCGATGCAGTACGTCCTTGTTATATGTAGATCGGTTGCCAACAAACGCTTTCCTGCAGGAGGTTTTGCAGATTCATCACGAAGGACATGGATGTGGGAAGCCGGATCGGAAGAACGTTGCTTGCTTGATTCCGATTGGACCAGCGACACAAGTTCATCCAATGTCTTAATGTTGGCACCATTGAGTTTGGCACGTGTGATCCAGCTATTTAGCCATCCAAACATTCTGTCGCAGGCAGACTTGAAATGTTTCTCAACTCCCCAATGACACCAGCAAGGGACGCGGTGCTTCGCAGGCAGGGTGACCATGTGATGGTACAGGGACTCGTAGCTTCGGAAATGCATCCCAGCATCTGCTACGATGTGTAAGCCTTCAAGCGGCAAATGGCCTTTGCGCAAGCCCAGGCATACATCAATCAGCTGATTTGCTCTCAAAGCAGTGTGATCGAGAACGCTGCTGAACAGCAGAATGTGAGATGTTTCCACGCGAGGAGCGGCAGCTGTAGAGCCAGGTAGGTGTTCCACAAGCACTCCACCGAATGTGCATACCTCAAATCTCCCTGTGGCATAAAACATTTCTGATGTCTGGACATTACCAATGGGTAAGGTGAGCAACTCCTTGAAGTCAACCATCAGCACACAATGTCCCAATGGCGGCGCAACGACCAGTGCGTCCAGCGCTGGTTGCTGGTGAAAATTGGCTGCTCTGTGGAACAGGTAGCTGTTCAGTAGCTTCTGCACCTTTTTGAGATTGAACTCTAAGTCAGCCTCCAAGCTGCGCAAGTCCACCCGTTGTCCTTGATTGAAGCCACTGCCAGGCTGCCTCAAGTGTAGCAAGCCGCAAGGGAAGTCACTGCCAACATGGTCTCTGCAAGGAGACGTTGAACAATGCTTGTTGACAAAATGCAAAAAAAGTTCCAAGTGGAGACCAGGCCGGTGATGAAGCGAATGCTTTTTTTCATATACTTCCCACGCAGCGAAATAGCAAGGCATCAACTCAGACAGCTTTGCCTTTCCTTTGTTCATGAGCCGCACCATTTTGGGAATCACCTTTGCGTCCAAATCGTAGCAGTACTGACAATAGTCGCTCTTGCATTGTGGCTCTTTGAATTCGTTCAAATGCGCCTTGACAATCCGCCTCATAGTTGAAGCGCTCATCTGCTCTTGGATCTCTTCACTGTCAGCAAAGATCCATGCCTTCTGCTTGTGCAAGGTATGAGAGACAATCAGATCCTTGGTGCCGGTTTGGATACAAAGGTTGGAAGAAGCCGCAGAATTCTTCGAAAGCTGGGCCCTCACCAATTCAATGAGGTTGGCATCATGGATTTTGCTCTTGCGACCCGCTGGCTGTCGCCAATTTGTTTCGAAGGCTGCCGCTCTGCTCCAGCGAGACCGGCCCATGATATAGCCATGCTCCCGACAGGTTTGCTGCTCCTTGCACACCTTTCGCACCAAAGCATCCACATAGTCCCGCACTGGCTGCAAAGCAAGAGAGCACTGGGGCGTTGCGAAGCCAGGTGCTTCCGCAAGGCCAGACACAAGCATTTTGCACAAAGATGCGTCTTCAATCTTGTTCTCACGCTGTGGAAACAACTGCGACAGGAAGCCTGGCCACTTAGTTTCTAGATCATTCAGAACAGGCCTGATACACTTCAGAGCCGATTGCTCTGAAGGAATTTTGTCTAGCAACTTTCTCAAAGAAACCCGAAACGTCTTGCAGCCATTCCGTGTAAAGTCCGACCTTTTCCTTTTCGTCTTTTGGCAATGCTTGCGTTTACATTTGCGACGCACCTCTATCGCAGCACTGGCTTTCAAACAAGGGATCTCCGGAACCTGGGCTGCACAGGGGGCTACACTAGAGGATGCCGCATCTGCAATGCAGCCACCAATCTCAGTGTTGATGGCATGATCAGTGTCATCAGCTTTGTAGAAATGCTCTTGCTCTTTCCTCGAAAGTTTGGACCATTTTTCTTTGAGCACCACCGCTTTCACAAAATCTTTTTGTTGCCTTGTCAACGCTTCGCCGACACGGCTAGCTTGGCGAGCTCGACCCGTCATTGGTCTCCCAGGCTTCTCCTTCTGAGCTCGAGCAATCAACGCATGTCCCTGTATTGGGTCGGCAAGCAAATGGTGAACATAGTTTAGCAAGGCTTTTTTGTCATCCTTGCTCTGCGGCATGGCTTCTTAGGTAACGATGGCCATAACACTTTGAAAGAACACTGCAAGTAGTCATGTCTTTCCAAAATTAGATCTACCTATCTATGTACGAGTATCTATCTATCTATCTACCTATCTATCTATCTACCTATCTATCTATCAATCTATCTATCTATCTATCGATCTATCTATCTAACTATCTATCTATCTATTTATCTATCTATCTATCTATCTTTCTGTTAATAAATTTCGAAAATATATATCTATGTAAATACGTTGATGTATATTTTTCCTGTATACCTATGCAGTCAATAGGCTCTAGTGTGCCTAAGTGCATATACCCGGATGCTGGCAAGACAGTCCAATAAGATGGAACATGGGTCTATCCCTTTCATGGAGGTCCTCATGTGACAAATGGTTATCGCTAAGTTATCGCTAAGGTTATCGCTAATCAATGCCTTACACATCTGAAATTGATCGAAATAGTGCTCACCAAAATGGCTGCAGCCCAGAAGCAATGAAGATGAAAAATGCCATGCGTGAAAGGTCCGATACAAGGGCCCAATGAATGCATCTATCGCTGCGATGCCTACCAACAGCTCATCGCAACAGCGATGCATGCTCCGAAGAAGCAAAATCGACTGCAACTTTCTCACGCTTTCTTTCGGACAACTGCTTCTGGTGTGCAAAACGGTACACAAGAATAGAAAACCCTGTGTGGGTGTGTGTTTGTACAAACACAAGGATTCTTTCCTCGTCGTTGCTAGCCCCTAAAAAGTTCCTTTTAGGAACATCCCCGTGCGGCTGCGCCGCAAGGAATCCGATGCCTAGTCCTGCTCTGTATTTGTCACAGGCCGACAACCAACGCAAGTGCAAAAATCGGAACCTTGCCGCCGCATTTCATGTCGCAACTGCAGAGACTTAACTTTCAAGACCTCCAAAGCTTCGGGCACAGAACGCAAAATCAACAAGCTACGGGTACAACCTAGCAATAAGCTGGCCCGATTGCAACAATAGCACTGGGATCCAGTTGTCTTCACCAAGCCTTTGCCAGTGAGACGGGTCACCCACTTGACACGGTGCCGGGCTACCTTACAAATGGTGCATGCATCACAAGCCCCTAGGCGATGAAAGTCCTGACCCTCAGGGTTTCCCTGGTGGGCCAAACCATACAAAGCAATGGCGTCTTGCAATTTCTGCTTGACTTCTGGCGTGAATACTGCTTGCACAGTAGTCTTGCTAAATGAACTACTTGCAGCTAATCCTGCTCAGCATGGCGTGTTCCAACCAGTGGCACAGGAGGATTCTTCTCAAGGATCTTGGGCTCCTCGCTGGCTTTCGCAAGGTGCATGGGAAAAATGAAAACTAAATGAACTCTTTGCAGCCAGTCCTGCTCAGCATGGCCTGTTCCAACCGGTGGCACAGGAGGATTCTTCTCAAGGATCTTCCGCTCCTGGCTGTCTTTCTGGAAAAACCACTTGGGAGGAACCAACAAAGCTAGATGAACTACTTGCATGCAGTCCTGTTCAGCATGGCTTACCCCAACCAGAGGCTCAGGAGGATTCTTCTCAAGGATCTTCCGCTCCTTGCTGGCTTCGCAAGGTGCATAGGAAAAATGAAAACTAAACGAACTACTGGCAGCCAGTCCTGCTCAGCATGGCCTGTTCCAACCGGTGGCACAGAAGGATTCTTCTCAAGGATCTTCGGCTCCTGCTGTGGGAGGAACCAACGAAGCTAGATGAACTACTTGCATGCAGTCCTGTTCAGCATGGCTTACCCCAACCAGAGGCTCAGGAGGATTCTTCTCAAGGATCTTGGGCTCCTTGCTGGCTTTCGCAAGGTGGATGGGAAAAATGAAAACTAAGTGAACTCTTTGCAGCCAGTCCTGCTCAGCAAGGTCTGCTCCAACCAATTGCAGATGATTCTTCTCAGGAATCTTCTGCTCCTGTTTTTCACTGGGGCCCAAGGGACATAAAAAAAGACAAAGCCACAGGAATCAATTAGGAGCTGTTCATGACGAAATGCCAGCAGAGTGGCGCTCCTGCTTAGCCGTGGAGCCAAGTTCCGGCGGCATGAGCTTGCCATTCAGCTCAGCCCACTTGGCCGCCTGCCTTCTGCTTTGAAAAGACCTTGACTTACCACCTTCACATTCCTGGAAGATAAATATCTTGTACCAAATGCCACTAGTCATCTTCATCCGCTCATCCACACGCCAGGACATGAGAGGCGCGGACTTAGGCTACTGCTTTGGGACCTGGGAAAAAAAGCAAAATGCCTGCAGAAAGCAGAAGTTCAATCACCTTGGACAAGAAACACAGGCACTGGTATTTGCTTGATGAACATCATGTTTAGTGCACTCTTATATATGGTTACAGGTTATCGCTTTTTGGGGGGGGCCCTATCGCTTTACATGGTTTCGTGCACTTGCTCAGCACAACTGGACCCTCCCTTACTAAAGTAGTATACGCTCATTTTGACCGTATCTCATATGTAAGAACCGGGTTTTTTCACGTCGGAATGTGAAAGATTGTGAAAGTATATAACCCTGACGTTTCAACACGTTTCAACCACGTCCCAATGAAAAACTGTTCAGTTTCACGTAGGCCGAGATCTCGTAAGTCATTGGTCACTGTCGGGTCGCTTGGGTTCCCAAATTCGAAGCCTGGCAAGTCTGGCAGAGCAGAGACGACGCCAAGCAACGCCAGCGTTCGAAGGCCTTCAGCGATTGATTTGTTTTGGCGCACTTCTTTTCAGAACCGTTTGGCTCCAGGAACTGAGTACTGAATTTCAGATTAAAATCATTAGAGATCGAGATGAAGTCATTATCCTGGGCTGAACCCATCAAGTAGCTCCAAATAGCAGGCCTGTGAAGAGGCTCATTTTGAAGCCACACAAATGAACGCTTTTCGTCAAAGAGCTGCGGATTATACAAAAACTGGAGCAAGGTCGATTGACAGCTCCCCAAGCATCATAGAATCCGTCCACTCCACGTGGTCCACTTCCCAGCTTTCATTGCAAGCTTCATGCTCAGATTTTATCAGCAACCCTGGAAAGGGTGAGGTCAGGAGGCTCACTTCCTCGACAACATTACCAGTGCAGCTAAAGTATACATGGCGCACCGGACAGAGATTGGCGATGACCCTTCACAGCCAGCCTCAACCTTCTTGTTTCGCCCCTGTTGCAAAGGACTCTGCTGAGATGTAACATCCTCATGGACTCATATGGACTCATCATATGAACCCATAGATGTATGTGTGTATGTGTGTATATGTGTGTGTATGTGTATGTGTATGTATGTATCTATCTATCGATCGATCTATCTATGTATGTATGTATGTACGTACGTACGTACGTATGTATGTATGTATGTATGTATGTTTTTATGTATGTTTACAGCACATACATATATACACATAATTAATATATATATATATATATGTATGTATAGTGTACTTTATTTGCTATTGAATTGCAAAATTTGCTGTATATCCACGTTGGAATGCAGCTAACTTGTAGGGACATCGTCAGCTCGTTGTTCTACCTACTGCTCTGGCATTGGCAGCTGGAAAATGCAAAGCAATGACTGCCCTGCGCGTACGCAAACACAATGCCATGGGAGCTATGAGTCATCTTGGGTGGACGAATGAAAGCACCTGGCCTATCCAATTCCATTCTCTTTGGTTTCGCTGGATGGTGTGCTTCTTTCACTCGTTCATGCCCTTGTCATTAGCTGTCTGGGCTGCCTGCTATTCGCAGATCTGCCCAGACAGAAACTCAAATAGCCGAATGCCTGTAGCACTGTAGCATTTCAAAGATATGTCAAGCCTATGACTTTGACTGCGGAGCACTACTGTTTTCATAGAATCAGGCACCAGCTGTGCGCAAGAAAAAACTGATGCCTTGGCGATGTCAGTTCCACCATTACAGCATCGTGAAGCAGCCGAGATCATCCAGTCCAAATTGATGATAAGTTATGACAATAAAGACTGGATTTTGAATGGCCTATCACCATGAAAAAGTCCAGCCTTTCAAATCTAGCCCTATCCGTCTGGTTATCTTTTCTGCATCTCATTGATAAATCCCCTACATGACAATCCACATATTGGCATATTGATTATATAATTATATATCTCTCACTGTCACTATGTGCCTTTGATTTGAAAGAAGGACTGCCTTCGCACGTTCATATGGGAAGTGTGGTGAAACCGGGACAACGGGAGCAATCTCCACGCTGGCAGCTGATCCCTTGCAAAAACTCAAGCACAAAATATGAATTGGGCCACCAGTCAGGACACACCTGTAGAGACAATCATGTTACCTTCAGTTTTGACACAAAGTTTTCTTTATCTTGTACCAAATACATCCAAATACCTCGAAATTCACTCAAAGGGTGGCCCTGAAGTACGTCCACATCCTCATGCAGCGGTTCGCATGTATATCTTCTGATATCAAGACACATCAGAATTACTCAGACTCAATCAACACACCGACATCAAAATTCAAAGTCAATCTATGTCCTTATGGCTCCGCCGGAAAGCACTTGGTGCGACCAGCCTGAAAGCTGGAGAAGAAACGAGAAGAAACAAAAAGAAACGAGAAAGGGAGAGGGAGAGAACATGAAAAGAACGTGAGAAAACATGAGAGAAATGTCAAATTTCATTGGCCTCAGAGTTGGATTTGGATCCACCTGAGCTTCCTGCCATAGGAAGTGGTAGCGTCTCACGAATCACTTCAAGACCTCAAACACAGCAGACTTGATTCTTGATCACTGCGTTTGTCGGTTGACACAGGTTCAGGTCTACTTTCTGACTTCACCTTGCTTCATCTTGCTTACCAAGTTTGTCCAGTGTTTCTAATGAAATCTGCCTGCACTGAGGACAAAACACCTGTCCCTGGCCGCGAAGGTATCGAAGACCAGCGCCTGTGTCGCCAGGTGCCCGGACGCGGCCAGGTGCCCGGATGCAATCGCTAAGGGCAGCTGAGCATCGAGCCAAGTGTCGAGGTGCAGCTGAAAAAAGCTTTGCATAACGGCCGTTGCTCCTGAAGCTTCAAGCACCGGAGAAGTCCAATAAGTCAACAAGATCAACAAAAACGCAGTATATGTGAATATGTTGACATATAATAACATATATATATATAAATGGTCACCCCACCACCCAGAACCCCCCTTTCATCATTTCAATGCATCTGCTGCATAAATATTGCATTTCACCATGTCTTTCTGGAAATAGTGTTCTTCACGAAATCAATATTCTGAGACTCTTTGGGGAGGGCCCCTTTGAGAAAAAAACTTTTGAAAAAACACAAAAACAAAAAAAAACAATAGTCTAAGACTCTTAGGGGAGGGCTCCTTGAAGAAATCTAAAAAACCTTTGGAAAAACCAAAAAGAACCAAAAAAAACATATTCTAAGACTCTTAGGGGAGGGCCCCTTGAAGAAATCTAAAAAACCTGTGGAAAAACAGAAGAAACTAAACATAGTCTAAGACTCTTTGGGGAGGGCCCCTTGAAGAAATCAAAAAAACATTTGAAAAAACAAAAAAAATATTATTCTAAGACTCTTCGGGGAGTGCTCCTTGAAGAAATCTAAAAAAACCTGTGGAAAAACAGAAGAAAAAAAACAATATCCTAAGACTCTTGGCTTACCTCCCCCATCCCCAGGACCTCTAGAAAATTGTGTTTTTTCTTTTTGGTTTTCTCGAGGTTTTGTGGCACAGGACCTCTGGAAAATTGTTTTTTTTTGTTTTTTTTTGTTTTTTTTGGGTTTTCTCGAGGTTTTGTGGAACAGATGCAGTAGTACTTTGAACCAGTTTTGCCTTGAAAGAAAGTCTTTGAATGGACGCAGCACTCTTTTGATGTGTGTTGCATTCTTAAGCACATGTAGTAGCGCAGCATCACTCTTTGCATTATTCGATTACGAAAAGTATGAGATAATGGAACATTGCTTTAAACTAGCATGCTTTGCAAGACTCTTCCATGGGTGCAGTATTCCTTAGAAAATGCCAACAAACGTGTGAGGTCCCTTTGAAAGAGCACAGAATTACTTCAACAAGAAAGCTCTCTTAGTCTATGCAGTATTCATTGTAAACAGTATACAATATATTTAGAAAAGAGTTGTAGTGCAAAGGTATATGCAAGGTATATTAATAATCTAAATAAACACATGTTTTCATGGTCAATAAAATGGTATATTGAAGGGATATGGAAAAAAACAAAGGTATATTCATGGTATATTAAATGATACACTCAAGGTATATGACATGGTCTATCAGCAGTATTTCAATAGGAACATCAAAAGATCTTATACATATATATATATATCAAAGGTATGTTAAAGGTATGTTCTTTAGGTATAGAGATGTATTAGATGGCATTTCAGACTTACATCAAAGGTATCCTAAAGGTATATTAGAGGCAAGAACATTACCAATAAAACTGTATTTATATAAAGGTATACTAAAGGTATATTAGATTGCATATAAAGCATTGAAGGTGCATTGCATTGTATTTAAAGGACATATTAAAGGGATCTTGAAGATATTGTCAGTCAATAGAATGGTATATAAAAGATATATTGAAGCTATAGTAAAGGTATAGTCATTGTATTTTAAATATGTTTGATCAACGCATTATTCTTACTCTGTTACCTCTACTTCATCAAAAAACAAAAAACATGGTCATACAAGAAGTGAGAGGAAGGCTGAGCTTCATTAAAGCATGTATTGCATCCTTCCACACATGATAGTTTTCTTGCAAGAATATCAATAATATCAATATACAGTTTAGATCACTAGCATTGCTTTCTGCAAACACATCAGTTGTGCTATGCAGAGACCAAGAGCTGGTAAAACAATTGTTTGCTAAACATGCGGAGGGGTTCTGGGGGGGGCTACGTATATATAGTGGATTATAGCATATTATAGTCATAGTGGTTTCCGACATTCTCTTGGTCTTGGGTGAAAGTGGATGCTACTAGAGTAGTGTAATTATTCTGATGGTCTTAACTGATCTTAACTGTAGGCAGATGTATTATCATCGCACAAGAAAGCTAAGCAGTTAAGCAGGCTGGCGTCTTTAGCTGTTCATCAATTGAATTGCTTAGCCGATTGCTTAGCCGCCAAAGAGTGTCAGAATTGCAGCCAAAAACTCCGCACATCGCCTGGTTGAGGACGGCCATTTACAACCTCGCTACAAATCCACACACAAAATATATATATATATATATGTATATATATATACACACCGCATGCGGCTGGGATTTTCTGACACCTCGAAACGATACTTGCCAAGGTCAAGAAAATATCGCACCATCAACATGTTGAAAATCATTTTATGATCGCTCCTTGGCACACCACACCATATTTTTTCCTTGCTCTGAGGGCTCGACCAGCGCCTTCGTCCTGGGATGGGAACAGTTTTTTATAGTTGTTTTGAATGGTTTGAATGTGGATGTGAAAAGATGTGAAAAGTTTGAACCTCTTGCTGTGAAAAAAGAAAATTGTCCGACTAGCTGATTAGCTTGTGTTTGGCTGAAGCAATATTGTCATAGTCATCAAATCATAACACTAGGCAAAGTATGACTCTATAGCGAAATCAGAAACCTGCGAACCCAAATAGATCGCATTGTGGCCTCAATTTCAACACATGGCTGCCCACCTCGCTGTCATTGCTACCCTGAGATGCTGCGTAGCTGCGCGGCGACTCGTCGATGTTCAACTGGGTGTCACTGCTGTTACTGTAGCCGATTTGAAACCAAGACTCAGATCCAAATTGAAAGACATCCTTGCCAAAAGAATCTCTAGACGTCAAATGATTTGATCTTTTCCACTGCAGAATGAGCCATTCAAAACGAGAGTAACGCGAACTGGGCAGCCAGCATTCAAAGAGGTGGAACGTCCCAGTGGTCCCTCTTCCTGCATGCGAAAGCATTCAGAACTCTAATCAAATAACATGTATAACATGTATCTTATAACACTCCGACACACGGACGAATGCGCAGGGGCGTGTATTTCAAAATTTTCAAAGAGTTTGCACCTACCCCGTCAGAAATTCCTCGTCAGTGCAGAGCTGGCGCATCTCCGAAGGGTCTCGCACAACCCCAAAGCTATCCTACAAGGTGAAACAGCGCTGTGCCCGGCACTTGTCAATGTCTCACACCAAAAGTTCCAAGATGCTACGCTTGACGTCAGTTGGCAGTGGAAAGGCTTCAATCACTTGAAGCTGTCCTTGGTGATAGTGGCACCTTTTCCAAAGCAGCCACCTCCAGCAGTTCTTTTGACGTTCAGACACTACACTCTTTGAACTTCCAAAGGCCCGATACTCCATATACACTCTGCACTTTGAGGACTGCACCCTTGGGGCCAGATCTGATCTCCTGGGTTGGCTGAAGTTGCTGAGCTAAGCTGAAGCCAAATGGAAATGGTTTCCGTCTGCTCTCCCTGAGGTATGCGCAGGCCCGAAGGCACCAAAGCCAGCGTAGCAGGTGACTTGGTCCTTCGGGGTTGAAGGGTAAAAATAAAAACACAGCAGGGACCCTTTGAGAAAGGCCTTCCGCATCCATACCAACAAACTTGCAAAATCGAGCTTGGAATAATAAAGCTTGGAATAATAATCGGAAGAAGAAACAAACTATATTGTTATTATTTTACACATATATATATATATATCACATACAGAGATATGTATGTATACCTGTACTATACATATATATATATATACAAATATCATATCATATAAATATAATATAATATATAATATAACATAGTGTATATATATATATAGCTGGGCAACAGGCTCCAGCCCGCGTCCTCCGCAAAAGCAAGAACAAGAGCAGGTTCATCATAAGCAGCCTGTGTAGAAAATAAAAAGCTATTATTGAGCTATTAACTGTATCGGATAGACTATAACATACTATTTCCAATTCAGTGATTGGGTGTTGATGAGATACTGCAGGTCAACTGACTGAACGAAAAAAGTAGCCCAATTGAGCCTTGGGAGGTGCCATCACCACCCCTGTCTTGGCAAAAAACACCTCAAGTCACATGATTCAACAGCCTCAGGTTATCTCAGGTTGCTCCAAATCTAACATGTCCAACATGTCCAACATGTCCAACATGTCCAACATGTCCAACATGTCCAGCCTCCAGCGGCTCGGCAGCACGTCTGTTCAACGCGGTCACCATCGCCAATGCTAAGTGGAGGGAGGCCTGGTGGCTCTGATTCTGTTGTTGGCAAAGGCATCTGAGCATGTCTGAAAACGAGGTACTGTAACTGTATACAGTAGGACGGTATAGGACCCAAAATGGCCACTTTAAGTCGGGAAAATGGCCATGATAAAGCATTGATTTTTGAGGGTGCCCTATTTTCAGACAAACCCATGCGAAAATTACTTGAAACAGGAAACCCATACTGTGAGTTATCTTTCATGTCGTGTTCCCACCTCGTCCACCTGGTTTTTTCCGCGGGTCAAGGTGCTGGCGGTTGATACCTCACTACGAAATACAAATCCAAAGTTATCCGCAGGTTACCTCACTGCTAAAAGAAGAAGTGAAGTAAAACAAGCAAATATCAATGTCGAAAAGTTTGGAAGGCTGAGACTTCCACGCTTGCAAGGTCATCATCCCTCCGAGCACGTGTATCTGGAGACCTTGTACCAAGACAGTCACAGCAAAAGTATGTAAAAGTCAGATACTGATCTCCTGTCATTGACTCGGCAACTCAGTCACTTCCCATCATCTTTACTTGTGAGCTGCGGAGGAACGCAGCTGTTGAAGTCGAAGTCAAAAGGGCATCACTGGCATCACTGGCATCACTGGCATCACTGGCATCACTGGCATCACTACCCAGTACCAAGCCACGCTCGGCTAAAGCGCATGCCCAGGGATGCAGCCCAGCTCGTGCCCTGCAACTCTCAATGCTTTCAATTTCTGCCACAGCTTCACAATGGCTCAGCAAGAACTCCAGAAAGTAAAACAAAAAGAGAAATTGAGAAGCAAGAACCGTTCTGCCCGACGTATCATGTCTATGTCTATGATAATGATACCATTTCATTTCAGGGAATATTCCGTGACATTGCCCTTCTGCCTGCCGCGGAGGTGACATCATCATGGAATCCACCTCCCCAGCTGCGCAACGGCCGAGCTCAGTCTGCATCGCGCCCTCAAGTCCATTCGCCACCAGGTTGAAAGAAGCCAGCGGGCAGCTGATCTGCAGGCTGCACTCCTCCTGGAGAAATCATGGGAACAAAGAAATGTATCATAAGATATCATAAGTATCATATGAATAGTCATGAGAGTCGTGAATTGTATATTTCTACTGCTGGTGAGCTCCGAAATAGAATGCTGCAAGTTGTTGGGTGGAGTGCAATAAGATGAATGGAATGAGTCCTGCGAAATCGTCAGTGCCACGCAGTGTGAACCTTTCGGACGTGACCATCCTCACCTGCAGTCGGCTTTGGAATGCGAACAGATCATCAGGTCATCATGTTCCTTATTTGTTACCGGGTTACCGCTTGAGTAGCAAAAGACAGCATGGATGTGACTCGTTATGAGCTGTTCATAGCTGTTCTGTTTTTCTGTGTCAGCCGCTTGGTCCCGCTTGGTGTCCAACAGAGAAGCGTTCAACACCCGTGGAGCTGTTGGTACCCACCTGCAAATGTTGATTTAATTCCATATGGATCCATATGATGTTTGGTCGCAAGTGCGGACATGCAGATCATGCAGTCAATATGGGAAGAAAATGGAAGAAACAAGTTTTCAAGGTCGGAATTGATCTAGCCAAAGGGAACTGGTATATCGACAATCCACAGACGGCTAGAACTGGGGGAATCAACAGCAAATGTGGCCTTGCCCTGCATACAGTGAGGTTGCGCTGCTGAGCCCAGCAAAGGCCGCAAAGTATCCAGAAGCGCATTGAAAGCTGTCTCAAGAGCCTCGTTGTCAAAGTCACAGCATAGCATGGCAGTGACTGTCCAGCTGCAACAGCCCTATCCAACCTCCAGGCGTTGGTCCACCAATTCGGAACGGCGCATCTCCTGCCGATTCGACAACGTCTAGTTGGCCGAAGGCAAAGGTGCTCTGCACATCACCAAATCTGAACCTTTTCTCGACGCTGGCTCCTTGCCAGGTGAGCAGGCGGCAAGCATAGTGAAAGCACAGAGCAGCAGCACTGGGACCTGCAAAATGATCCAACAAGACAGACGCTGCTGATGCTGCAACGGTCCCACCATGTCTTGTTCTGTGATTTCCATGGTTCAAAAATTGCCATCTCTTGGATATTCTGCAGACTCTGAAGCACATCCCAACAGCCTCCGCGGCTTCCAAGCTCTGCGTTTCATTTTTCAAGATGTAGAGCAGTGCAGGAAGAACCAATACTAAGGGGCACCTGGCTATGGCACGACAGGCGCAATGCTGACAAAGTGCTCAAGGGTTTGGAGATGTTCAGACTATAAATATATATAATATATATATAAATGCGTTTGAGCCGTACCTTGTCTGATTCTGCACGATCAATCATGCCCCTCCCTTCACGTGTCAATACTGGCAGGGGCAGCAGCACACCAAGCTTCCAATCGAAGCGACCTCAGAGTATGCTGCAAACAAATAGAAAGTAAAAATGCCCGATCAGCAGCCCAAGACTCACAAAGGTTCAAACGAGACAAGGCCGCCAAGGCCCTTCTGCCATGTCTTTAAAACTTTAACAACATCAATGCCCCTCTGCAAAGCCATTTGAGCTCCATGCTGCGCATGGATGTCAACAAATCGCCAGGAGGAAGGCTCAAGGCCTTTCCGGATCTGACATCCGAACCCGTGCTATCCCTTTAGCAGATCTTTGAACATCAGCACTGGTTGGAATTCTGGATTGGGCAACCCAACCTGCATTGCTGCGTTGAGATTTGCTGAGAAGACCTGACCTTGGAACAGCAAAAAGTGGCAAACATTGGCAAACTGATTTTGCAAACTAAACATTACATTACACCGTGGAATCGTGGAAAGCAAAACTAGTTGAGTCATGCTGAGTGTTGAATGGAACTCAGGCAGCCGGACCATCCTCGCCCCAACCCAGGGGTGCCCTCAGCTGGTCAAAGGCATCTGCAAAAGCAGCCTGAAGGCAGTGGCATCAGGGAGCTCCTCTTTGGGTGTCAGCTTGAGCTGAGGGTTGATGGATGTTGATGGTCTACTGAGTCTACTGAAACAGGAAAGCTGGACCATCTGGACATATCTGGATTACTTTTATAGCTTTTATCCAGCATATGTCAAATGTGTCAAGGCATGTTGGAACGGCGAAACTGGCATGGCATGGACCACCTGAGGAGACTCCAGCCGCTCCAGCCTTGTCTACTGCTGCAAGCAGCTGACGATTCCAGGCTTTGCAGCGAAGGTGTTGCAGAGGAAGAAGCAGTGGCAAGGGCAGCAAACCAAAAAAGGCCTGGCACCGAGACAGAAAGGATGTGTAAAGATTGTAAAGTGCTGTACGATCCAAGAGTGAACAACAAGGACCATGCGGACCCTTGGATCCAAAGACCTCAATGATTCGAAAATCTTGGCTGAAAGTTGACGATACAGAGCTGGTTGGCTCGCAACCTGCAAGATAGCAAGCCGATGCAAGCCGCCTCTGAAGGCCCCAGCACCAGGAGGGCCACGACCAGCAGAACACTCACGAGAACAATGTATGGCAAGAACCTGTGAGCCAAATGGACCACAGTGACCACAGCATTTCAGCCAGTGCGTAAAAGCATTGTGCCCTGAGCCGGCCACCACTGTAGCCAATGAAGCACCACGGAGGTTACCGATGTGTCTGATGTCCAGCTATGGCCCAGTACCATCTGAGCCTTGCATCGCTGCATCTCTTTCAAAAAATGACTTGCGACTGGTTGCGATTCGCAAATCCTATCACTACAAATCATTACATATCAGTGCATACCTTATCAAGTTTGAGTATAGTTAAATATCGTTGAATAGTGTTGGATAGCGTTGAAATGTGAAGAGCACCGGAGAGAATCATGGGCGACCAGTCCTGCATAAGGCAAGTTAACTCGCCATACTCTGGGACGGGCCGTTGTGAGCGGTCAATTGCCTGTGATAGACGGAAAAAGATGTGACTGCGGGCACTCGAAGGACATCGATCTGCATTCAGGTTCGTCAATCGTTGCTGCTGCCCTCTCCCAATTCCGCTTGACAACTTGTGTAACTTGTGACTCGTTTAAAGGTGCAAGAGCTTCACCTCTCAATCTATGTGCTGTCTTGCAACGCTTCAGTGACACTGCAGCAATATCACTTTGCCTTGCCAGAACGAAGTAGCTCTGCAAGTCGAGGGAAGCGCACCTGGAAGCAAAATCTCAGAGCATCTCAAGGTGCAAGTCACTGGGATGTCACAAATGACATCAGCTCGCTACACTACAAGTGATGCAAGTGCAGTGCTGCAAGTCCTTGTGATTGCTGACAGAGTTTACATGAGTTTACTATGTTTACAGAATTCTTCTTCTGTTGCAGTGTCTTTCATCAGTCTGGCAGACTTGGCGGCCCACATGAGTGTTGGGAGTCCGGGATGCTTGCCCATCCTGCGAGAAGCAAGAAGCAAGACTGTGAACTGGAGGCCAACTCTTTCGCAACTGATTTCTACCATTAGATCTGAATTCCGACAACATTTGCAGCTGGCAGCTGGCTTTGCGGGAAACGACTCTCCTTGATCACTGCTCCATCTGAGTTCAATTTGCCTGCCACTTAGAGCAAAGGTAACTTCAGGAAAGTTCCTTAATGATCCTTAATGTATCAAGTCTTTCTCAGAAAATGCCACGGGATTGACTTGAGCTCAAATTCAACATGACAAGTAGCTGCAAAATCCTCTGGAAACAAGCTGGAAGATATTGGAAGATGCTGAAAGTGTGGGCCTTTCAGAGGCTTCTGGAAATCATAAGGGTTTGGAGGCGCCGGAACTGCAGGGGCAGCTGCCTCGCAACGTTTGACGGAAATGCCACGAGGTCGTTGAATCTCACCGGCTGACCCATCTCTCTCACCAGCATTCATGCTTGACACCCGTATTACGCCTACAGTCCACATAAGTTTCTCAACAAGATTTTGTCCTTCCCAGTCGTTCAATATCGCCTGCAATGTGGACCAGCCCCTCTCCATTTTGTGGCAAATGTCCAGCTCATCCTGAATCCCATCTGGCAATCGGCAAGGCCAAATCCCGAGACGACCAATGGAGGATGCCGCTCGGCTCCTGAAAAGAATAGACCTTCTGCCCGAAGGCAGCCCTCTGCTCGCTTGGAAGTGGCACCTGCCCAGGAGGCATCATGCAGCAAGTTTTCCTGTCAAAGTTTCCTCAATATTGGTAGAATCGGGCGTCTCTTGCTGCTCGAAAATGGTGTGGCTTTAACTTAACCCTCAACCAGGATCCTTTTCAGAGCCCCCAACCTCTAAGCTTTTGGGCTCTGGCGATGACTGGATGACCTAGAAGCAGCTCAGAGTTTGCCCATGTCTGCAGCTTTTTGCGTATAAATGATGTCTGAGATGTTCATTGGTTTTTTGGTTATTCACTTATCCCCATCAGATTCCTTTCAAGCGGTGAGAAAAATGAGACTTGTCAACGCCTGAAAGCTGACCAAAGAGCCAAAGGTTGCTTAGTGAGGCTTAGTGTGTGGACCTTCGGCACTGGCTCATTGGTGAAGGAAAGCTCATCGCCAAAGGTCCTAAGTCGCATCACACACCGTTTTATGCCAGCATCAAGAGCACCGTGCAGGACAAACATCCCACCCGCCCTGTCTACTTAGTCTACTTGCTGTTTACTTGGAATCGCCCACTAAATCACATGATAATTACGCATAACTACATTCAAAAAAAATGCGTCGAAGTGAGAGATTGGTGGCTGCGACTTTGATTGTTATCCAGCTGTTCCTTTTCCCCGAGAGTGTTTGAGCGTAGGGTTCTTTTAAAAAAGGAGCTGAGATCATACATCTTCACGTCTCACATCTGCATATCTTACATCTTCACATCTTGTGTCAGCTGAACTTACATCTTCAGATCTTATGTCTGCTGATCTGACACCTTCAGATCTTATGTCTGCTGATCTTACATCTTCAGATCTTACGTCTGCTGACCTTACATCTTCAAATCTTGCGTCTGCTGACCTTACATCTTCAAATCTTGCGTCTGCTGACCTTACATCTTCAAATCTTACGTCTGCTGATCTTACATTTTGCGTCTGCAGATCTCACACCTTCAGATGTTACGTCTGCTGATCTTACATCTTCAGATCTTACATTTGCTGATCTTACATCTTCAGATGTTACGTCCGCTGATCTTACATCTTCAGATAAAACGTCTGCAGATCTTACATCTTCAGATAAAACGTCTGCAGATCTTATATCTTCAGATCTTGCACACTCTCTCTCTCTCTCTCACTCTCTGTCTTTTTCCTCGCTTTCCTCGTTCCTGCTAATTTCTGGTTTCTCTTAAGGCGGGGCGGTGGCCACGAGCGATCACGAAATTCGTGCGGAACTGTCGCATTTTCCGAAAATGCGACAGTTCCACACGAAATGAGGTTCGATCGTCAAAAACTACGGGAAAATTGCGATTTTGAGTTGTACTGCGCGACCCTTACGCATGAAATGAGGTTCGATGGTCAAAAACTGGAGAAAAACTGCGATTTTGAGTTGTACTGCGCCGGGTGCCCCGGCATAATACTAGGTTTTGATAGTAGAAAATTGATGAAATGTGTCATTATGTTGCGGCGGGTCAGGTCGCAAAGCGGGTTCCCCAAAATAATGCAACATTATGCTAGTAAAAAAGTGAGGAAGTGTGTGATTATGCTGCGGCAGGACTGTGCCGCAAAGAAGTTCCCGAGCAGGTTTTGGACTCTGCAAAAGTGTACTCAAAAGTGTTTGTGTGCAAAGACTTCTGTGTGTAAAAGTGTCTATGTGCAAAAACATTTGTGCCTAAAAGCGAATGTGTGTAAAAGCGTCTGTGTGTAAAAACTGTTTATGTGTAAAAGCGTGTGTTTGTGTGTGTGTGTGTGCGTGCGTGAAAGGGGTTTGTGTGCAAAAGCTTCTGTGTGTGTGTGCAAAAGCATCTCTGCGTGTAAAGGCGTCTGTGTGTAAAAGTGTCTGCGTGTGTGTAAGGGCTTCTGTGCGTATAAGGGTTTCTGTGCTTATGAGGGTGGTTTGTGTGTAAAAGCATCTGTGTATAGAAGCGATTTGTGTGCAAAAGTGTCTCTGTGTAAAAGCGTCTGTGTGTAAAAGGGTCTGTGATGGTCGGTGTCTAAAGCTCTATAACAGCCCTAGGAAAGATGTATGCCAGAGATCTCTTGGCAAGATCTCTGCAACAGATCTCTATGCGATGTCTCTGTACAAGATCTCCAAAGGAGGTGTCCTGGCAAGATCTCTGTACAAAAACTCTCTCAGAGGTCTAGTGGCAAGACTCTTAAAGAGATCTCTCTATAAGAGATTGCCACAGAAGATCTCTGTGAGGGACCTCAAAGTAAGATCTCTGTTCAAGCTCATACAAAAGATCTCTGAGAAAGATCGCTGCTCTCTTCACCGGGTCTCTGTACAAGAACTCTATAAGATCTATAAGAGGTCTCCTGGCAAGATCTCTGTACAAGATCTCTATAAAGCGCTCTGTTGGCAAGATCTCTGTAAGAGGTCTCTTGGCAAGATCTCTGAACAAGCTCCCGATAAGAGGTCTCTTGGCAAGATTTCTGTGTGAGATGTCTCGTTTTGCGCGAGCCTGCGCAGTCGAAATGCAGATGGACATTTCACAAGAGCAATGAATTTTGTGCAGAAATTTACAGGAAAATTGTCGGACGCTAATCCCGCGACACCCGTTTTGTGCAAGCCTGCGCAATCGAAATGCACACGGACATTTCACAAGAGCCATTTATGCGGAAATTTACAGGGAAAATGCCGGACGTGATGGATACCACCTCGATTAAACACCGGGCCTTAACACCTACCGCAAGAACCCCTCAGTGTGGCCACACTGCTTGGACACAAGTAAAGGCGATATCACGATGCACAATATTGATATGATACCATTCCCCGCCGAGGAGGGGGTGACTCAGGGTGGTCTGACTCTGCTAGTGGGTGACTGACTTCGTTTAGTCTCTGGGAGACACAGTGGGTAGACAAAGTGGAGAGGCAAGGCGGAAGACACAAGTTGCGAGACACAGGGAGACAAGTTTGGAAGACACAGTGGGAGACAAGATGGGAGACAAGTGTGGAAGCCACAGTGGGAGACAAAGTTGGAGACGCACAGGAGACACAGTGGGGAGGGAGACAAAGTTGGAGACGCAGTGGTAGACCAGGTTCCAAGGTTGGAACCCTGCGCATATATGGGGAGGGAGGGAGAAGTCGCGATACCATACCCCTGCTTCTAGAGATTGGAAGCCAACAGTTTTCTGCTGTTGGGAAGAAAAATTAACACTGCTTGGAAAAGCTGTAGCTCCCAGGCTCGGCAGGGTCTTTCAGCAAAGCAACAAGTCCCTGGAGATCAACTCGGGATCAAATCGGACTTGAAATTGCTGTGGTGTCCTAGGTCATGTTGTCCAGGCCTGAGCCGGGAGTTTACCATCGATATCCTGGGCTCCCAAACGTCATCAGCTCATTGGTGCGAGTTGATGAGCCCAAATCGACCTGAATGGCAGCTCCAGTGAGATTCATAGTGATGCTATCCTCTGTGCAAAATGCTGGGGTTGAGAGTTTCACTGCAAATAGCACATCACTCGCCTGGTCAATCTTGATCTCGATCTCTTCTTTGGGGCTGTCCTGGCAATTGCAGAGCTTACTCTTGCAAAGTAGTGCAAGTATATTTTGAAGCTTTTTGGACTTTGTCACTCTTTGCCAACTATATATCCAGTGCAAAACGACTAGAATCTAGAAGAAATGAATGTATGGTGACTGTACCTTCACTCTTAGGTACACGTCTAAGATCTACTCCGATCTGTTTGTACCAGTTCTCGTGCAACACAATCAAACGTTTTTCCGCTGGATGTTGGATCTTTGTCCCGCGAAAACAAAGGTGCGGAAGCAGTCACGTAATTCAAAGTCAAACCAAATTCGCTGAAGCCGCTTTGAGAGTCCTCCAGTGCAGAGAAAAAGCACCCAACTGGAATACACGATGCTGCTCCATACGAAGCAATACGACAATATTACAATAACATACAATAACTTAACTATATCGATGACATTTTCCTGTTGGGCGTAGCAGCTTCACAGTGTTGCGCTGAGACCCTCTTTTGAAGATCTCGGTCTGTCTCAGGGATTGACACTCCGCCTTGCGTTCACAAAACACATTGGGCAAGAAAGTCCTCAACAGGCCCATCACTAGAAGTTGTCCCTTCACATTCTGCTCACCTTACCTTGCACAAACAGCCTTGACTAAGAGAGGCGCCATTACAGAGGCGCCATTACGCTGCTGATGATGATCCTCCCAGCTTCTCGTAGCCTTGCCTGACCTTTTCCTGGAACTTTCCGAGACCTGCAAAGGAAGCATACTTTCGGATTGTCACACTGATCTGAAGCAATACTTCCCAAATTTCGACACCGGGCCAAATCAACACACGACACCGGATCCCGGATCTCCCACAACTCACCAGGGGGAAGCCTCCGAAATGCATCAAGAGATTCAAAATACCGCAGCACACCAGCGCCAGGCCAACTGCCAAGTCCAAGATGTCACTCAAAGACCTGGATCCCATGGAGAGCCCATGAAGAGCCCATCCCGTCTGATCCCAAGGATCCCAGCACGAGAGCTATCAATAGCTAAAGCTAAGGCGCGCGAAGCAAAGCCAAAGGGTACCCTGGAAGATGTAGAATCCACCACGGCCCAAGGTTTCAGATAGAAACTTGCACTTGTCCAAGAGCATGTCCTGCAAGTGGACGGATTTGCCAGTCATTTTCATCTGTACTGAACAAGAGCAGCTTTTCATCCTCTGGATCAGGATCTTTAAACAGCAGCGGTCGTGTAGTTCTCTCCTGATAGCCATTCAGGCCAGGAACTTTTGCGATGCACTCTGGAGGTGCTTCCTGGGCGCTCTCGGTGGCAGCATATCATGCTTGGTTTTCAAAATCATGTTGCATGTTTTGCTGGAAATATGAAAACAGAATCTGCCAAGTTGAGCTGCATGGTTGCTCCCAACACCCCAAAATACATCCAAATACTAGAAGTAATTTGGTTAAACAACAGGGTAAAATCACCAATATGCCCCCCTTGTGGCCACTGCCTATAATGGGCTAGAGCAACTCTGTGCTAGTAGTTTTAAGTCAGTCCAAAGCTTTCAGCAGCCGCTGTTTGAAACGCTCAGCCGAGTAGCAAACAAGACAGTGGTGATTGCAAACAAAAGCCTCAACGATTGCACCACTTAAGAGAACCAAGTTCTAGAATCATAAAATATTCCTCCCAAACGGTTTTTCTACTGCACATCCTGTCTACAACAAAAATCCACCATGAGCTTTAGTTCAGCCACTTGCGCCTTCTCAAGGCGATTTCAAACGAAAGAAAAATCATCGAAGACCTCCCCTTCTCAGTGCAGCCAACGCAGCTGGTAAATGGAGAGGACATACTTCACCGGTGTGGCAAGAATCTCAGTGCAAGCGCTCAGTGCGAGTGCGGGAGTTCCCGGCTTGAACCAAACTGAATAGCTTTGTTGACATGATGCTGCGGTGCTTCAAGCATCTTCAGACTTGCTGACCGCCTTTCCACATTCAAAGTCCGGCTGCCAACACAACTCCCCATGCCAGGATGCATGGCTGATGTGGATCAGCTTCAAGATGGAATTTACAACGGAAGCACAGCCTCAGCAGAATGCGCGTCTCCAAAAAGATGAGAAGTTTAAAGAACAAAGAGACATGCGTTACTTCAGATTACTTCATGAGGGTCGCGGTAGTTTCTTCAGATTTCAACTAAGGCATCACATCTTGCCCAGATTGGTTGCCACCCAGGCGCTACCAATGAAGCACAAGAAGCGGATGCCGGCAGGGCCCTGCTCTATGGTTGCCACCAAAGCGCCACCTGCCTTCATGACATAGGCACCAGCCATGGCTGAATACCTTGGTGATGCTGGTGGTTTTCCTACTTTCAGACCTATATCAAATCCTCAGCGAAACCATCCGATTCCAATAGCATCTCTGTTTGCTCTGAGCTACTTCTTTGCTGCTGCTTGAACCTGTTCATGGAAGATAAGAGAGTAATTGACAGCTTTCTGTCAAAATGTAAATCTGATATCCTGCAATCCTGAAGAATCTTACCAGATGCCTGGGAGAAAAAGCTTTGATCACAGTTCGACACATCATTCCGTCGACATCATCCCAAACTCCGTGGCCTCTGGATCGTTGCAGAACTCCATGATCTTCCTCAGGGAAACGCGAGCTGCTCACAGTGATGCAGGATTTCCGCACAGGAAAGGAGGCCCAAAACTGTAGTTTAAACGTTCGGAGCGTATCATATTCAGCAAGCAAAAAAATGCCAGCCGTGATTCATACAATTGTGCTACAATCTCGCAGCACGTTTAAAGCTGCGCAATCTGTGCAGTATTCTTTGTCATCTGAGGCACGTCTTGGCTTGACCTGCATACTCAGGGAATTTCTCTTTGCAGGTCTCCATGATCTGCCTCTGAACCTTTTCGCGCAAAGTGCTGTCACACGTCGAACTACTGTTCGGTATCTCTACATCCACTATTTTGAGGCTCAAATTGAGACATTCCTTGAAGCTTACGCCAGGAGTTTCATTGTTTTCATGGTTTTAATTTTAATGTTTTGTTTGCTGCCCATAACATCCATGACCGGGGTTCCCCGTATGCTTTGAAGATTTTGAAGGCCAGCTGTGGCACGGTAAGAGGCCTCCGGGTCCTGCAGCGCAGACATGGCATCTTTGCCCGTCTTCTCAGCTGCATCCTGCACGGCCTTCTGGACCTTTGGATCATTCATCCTTGGCCACACAGGCCTTGCTGTCTGCTGTGCTCAAGTGATCTCTGTTCGATTAGGGAGAAGCTAGGCAAGTATATCATTGTGCAAGGAAGTCTGCCTTTTACTCTCACAAGTATTCATGCTACACCCCCGCATTCGCTTGAAAAGCGTGTAGAGTTGGGACAAGTCGCAAGCTTTTCTTCACGTCATCGGGAATTCCTGACATCCTGCAATTCTACAAGAGTAGAACAATGGGCATGTCCAAAAACAACTCATATCGGTAGGCAGCACAGTCGCACTGCATCTTCACGACTGTGGAAGTGTGCCTGGAAGAAACCGATGCAGAATGTTCGGAACACTCAGCTACACCGTCAGACACCTATCGCTACAGCTTGAGCCAACCGCGGGAGTACCACCTCAAGGATCTGCACTGTGTTTGTCATCGTGGCATCCATCTTTCGCTTTCCCTGCTGTTTCTTGATCCCAGTGACTTGATCAACGACCAGTTCCAAAGATTTCCAAAGTGAATGGATTCAACAGATTTCAACAGGTTTCCAATGGTTTCCATGCTCTCCTGAACCTTGCCCAACATCTTCGGTGCAGGCCTTGTCACAAAGTCAACACACCATGAAGCAACACCAGCACAAGCGAACACGGAACTCAGCCAGCACAGAAAGTACATCACACAACCTCGTAGAGAAATGTGTACGGTTCTTGGCTAGGTTTAGAAGTCAAATTGTACACTGAAGGTTTGCAAAATCCATGTGGCTGCGGATAGCAAGCAAGTGGATGAAGCTGTACAAAAGACTAGGGCCGAGTGAACATATCCGTGTCATTCTGTAGAGTATCATGTCATTGCGAATGTCAGCTGAACCCCTGTTGCAGTGCCCAAGCCTCTCTTTCGATTGCTCTGCTTTTGGAGGCGCCTTTCTCCTTAAAAAGCTGATCCATTGGCTGGTGCTGTGTGAGAGAGATTTCAAAAAGATATGCTCTTGTGATCTCCTGGGAATCTCATCCTTCGAATTCCCATGCCGCATCTCAGACCCCGGCGCTTTGGAAGTCGTCGTCTTCCGAGCCTGGAGACACGAGATGACTCAAGGATGCCTGGGCAGAGATGCTCCCAGCCCTCCCAGCCCTCCCAGCCTTGACCGGAGTACCCACCGGTAAACCACCAGATCCAGCAGCTTCCAAAGCCTGCCGCAATTTTGCGGGTGGATATGGGAGGATGCAACTGTAGCAAAATACACGTCTGTCATATATATATATATATGTGTGTATTACTATAGGATTACTATGGTATGGTAGTATAGTCTATATATGTCTATACAATGTTGACGTGTTATTAATAACACCCCCAAACATTAAGAGCATCTACATAAAGTTTAGGACAAACAATGGCCTGGGGTCCCTGGAAAATTTTCCAGACCTATGTGGCGCCGAACACATTGCCTAATTGAAAACGAATATATAATATATGAGTGGACGTTCCTTTCATCTTAGTAGTCCCAAATGAACTGCCTAATTGAAAACAAATATATAATATATAAGTGGACTTTCCTTTCATCTTAGTAGTCCCAAATGAATGGGCTAATTGAAAACGGATATATATATATATATATAAGTGGACGTTCCTTTCATTTTAGTATTCCCAAATGAATTGCCTAGTTGAAAACGAATATATAAGTGGACTTGTCTTTGCATTTTAGTATTCCCACATGAGTTGGCTAATTGAAACCGAATGTATAAGATTCCCAAATGAATTGCCTAATTGAAAGAAAATAGATGGTTTAAAAGATTTTATGTGGGATGTCAAAACGAAGAAAAAATGCGGAAAAAAAACGCAAAGAAAAACGGTGGGGAAAAAAAAAACTTAAAAATTGGTTGGCGTACTTATAGGAGGGTTTACTGATAATTTCCCAGAATTGGCGTACTTTATTCATGAGGGGTTTAAGAAATTGGCACCCGGACATTATACATTATATTATGTTATATACTATATTATATTATATTGTATTATATTGTATTATATTATATACATAATCTGGTGTTAGCCTGTTTGTTGGATCTAACTTGGTCATCAATCAAGGGACCTTCGTCTCGGTGCGGCGGCTTGGCTGAGAGCGGCCGCGAGGCTTCTCCTTCGGATGCAGGGTCTGGACGCTGATGATTGGGGGGTTACCATACTTTCAGGGATTTATAGTAATATTCTAGTAATAGGGATCTACCAATTATCATAATTGCTGTACCAAATAGTGATTTTTTTTAAAAAAAAACTTATCCTTCAAATTAGTTCGTCCCTATTACTATTCCATAGTATTCCTGAACTGCGCTTGACTAATCCTGCCTAACATTAGCCAACATCAGTCATGAAGCACTCGCTGCAGCAAGATCCTGAATGAGCCCAAGCCATCCTTCATATCAAACACATATCAAATTGTGCCTCTCAAGAAATCTCGAAACCCCAAAGGCTGCGATCAAAACCCAGTTTCCTCATTCCGCACTTTGGAAGGGTCCTGCCACACAGCCAGGCCACACAAAATCTCAAGTCGGAGACCTGATCGGGATTGGAGGATCTGCTCAATAGGAAACAACTGATACTCACCCTTACTCCAAAGCCACTCAAAAAGGAGGGATGACAGATCTAGCACAGCAGAACATTTGTTTCGTTGAGCTTCCTTACTACAGTCCTGCGGCATCTGCGTCGCACGTGCTTTGGGCGCTGTGGGCACTGTGGGGCTTGCCTCCTGTTCAAATGACGCACTCGAGCAGTCAAGTTTCAGTTGTGGGGCAACAACTTTCTATGCCGCAAATCAATGAATCAGCAAGTTGGATCCGAAGGAAAAAGCAAAATTCAGCCTGACATCGTGCTCAAATCACTGCCGTGAGCGAGATTCGCATTTTTCCATTCCTCCTCTGAGTAAAGGCTGGAAAGGCTGAGAGCCACACCCTGGTCGTCAGATAGACCGTGACGGTGAGGGAACGAAGAGAACGAATCAAAGCATTGACTTTGGCTAGGCAACAATATGCATACATATGCATACATATTCATATGCAACATTCAAGTGTTTTCAGAAATTTTGAAGTAGATCGGGGCTTTTTGAGCATTTTGCCAAACTCAAGTGAGACTGTTTCGGGACAAGGTTTGAATGTCGGACTTTCGAACAGCGCAGGCGCCTTGTGCCGCATTTCCGTTCGCGGTCCAGAGGGTGGCGACGGCGGCGACGCAAGTGGCGACGAGCGGTCTGTGGCTGTTGTAGAGGGGGTCTCCTCGACGCGGAAGACAGAGACCAGGCGATGCCAAGCGATGCCAAGCGTAAGAATGACACGACAGAGATGACAGAGTCCAAACAGGCCAACGATTTACAGAATGACAAGTCGTTGGACTTTCCAAGCCAGTCAGCTCTCTCTTGGCTCCGAAGCTGCCTGCAACAAGGACTGCAAGTACAGAGCTGGATCTGTCCTCCAGGGGCAGTGGAAGCTGCATGCATTCTGTTCATTTGAGCTATGAGTCTACTTGCGGTTCCCGCAAACCCGTTTGTGCCATGGCCTCTGCATGTCAACATCAAAATAGAATAAAATAGACTAAATAGACGACATAATGAGATGAAGGCACATTTCCAATGCGCTCAGTCCCCCACGTCTCTGGAGTTCTTGGGCTTCCATCAGTCCTGGGCATCTGCAGTGCCCAACGGGCACAAGTCCCAAACGGCAGCGAGTCGGTCCCAAGCAGCAAAAAATAAGAAAATGTCTGGTCCATTCTCCTCTTGCGACTGGTTGCTCTCTCTCCTGACAGCATCTGCTGTAATTTGGCTAATTGGCTGGGACTTCATTTTCCGCCGTTCCAACGTTCAATAAACAGCCCCACCTCTGGGAGTCATGGAGGCATCCGTCACCTGTAGCATGGTTCGATGAAGCATGAGGTGAGACTGGCACAGTCTTACAGCTTCCTGTCCCTGAAAAACAGCATTTCAATATGTTTCAAGTTCGGTACATCCCAGATCATCCCAACACATTCCTGACTGCATTGGACTGCACAAGCTCTCAGCAAAGCAATTCCGCTGGCAACCGCACCTGTCTTGATACGGAAGGAGACCGTGAACTGGGCAAGAGTGGATTCGGTCGGCTCGGGGATCTGGAACCTGAAGCAACATAGTCAGAATCATTGAATCATTGAAAAAGAATTGAAGAGTGATTTATATAGTTGGATTGTAACTTTTGGATTTGGGAGTGCTATGTATGAAAGTGGCTGCAGTACGTGCAGTAGCTACAGTTCCAGGGCACTGCTCCAGGGAGATGCTCGATCAGGATGCCCAGGCGACTCAGCAAATGCCCAGGCAATGAACGGCTAGGGCGACACTCGGCCAAGGTCCCGAGGTCCCGACGGCATTTGTCTCCGGTGAGAACTCTGCCTCGCAACGAAGCGTCGAAGCTTCCAACATCTTCCAACTACACTTGCAAATTGGATGATGGGGAAGCTGCTGGGAAGAATCTGGCCCAAACATGGCGCACCTCCAGGTGCTTGTCTACCCGGCTGGACCTACCAAGTCCAACTATCTTTGAATGGCCTTTGAATGGCCACATATTTGAATGACCACTTCCAAGGAATACAAGGCTGTCAAAAAAAGTCAAAACAAGAGAGGCCTCGAAGTTTTCTGGTTGGCCAACAAATAATTAGGTCGTCCTGATGGCAGGTCTAGTCGTGTCCTGCAGGTCTGCACAAATGTTGACGAATAAATACGAAACGAGTCCTTACTTTCAATTGCTTTTCTCCAAAACTCCACGCCAAGCACCTTGCCTGCCTTGCCTTTGGCCGTTTGTGGCATTTCCAACAGCCAAGTTCTCGACACAGCTGTCATCGACTCACGGGTCCCGGCTCCCTCGCTCTTGCCCCTGGAGCTGGGGATCTTCCGCCTGTCCAAAATTCCAACTGTCCACTGGGCCCACATGGTATCGCTTGGTATCGCTTGGTCTCTGGCCTTGGAGCTGGTGTGATGACGGGGCGCGCGTTGGAATCGTCCTGACGAATTTCAGAGGCGGAAAGATGCGGAAAAATGTTGAAATCTCCCGAGAATTGGATTTCCTGCCTCGGAGTCCGATGCCCAGGGATCGAAGGGTGCTGGCTCGGGGATGCTCCCCCTGCACCAATAAAATGAAGGACATCAACACCGAAAACTTTGACATTTGACATGGCTACAACATGTTACAACCTGCTACAGTGGCCATGCTACTTTTCAATCCCAGCCTATCTACTGGTTTTCGAGCTTGCACCTGCAATCCCAGCTAGAACGAACTGCCCAGGAATCCCACAATTGGCTCACTTGGCTTCTCCGAGTTTGCTCGTCCACAACACAAGTTCATTCAGAAAACCACGGACATGATCTGGAGTTCAGTAGAATGGTTGCTCTAAAAGGACCCCACCTTTCCATCGGTGTTTGCACGGCGCAGCCGCTGTGCACCTGCTGCTTAGCTTTTGGCTGTCAAAGAATGAGTCTTCCGTACATGAACCACCACAAAGGTTCTCAGAGTGGGTGCTCAAATCTTGAAACTCAAACCGGCTCTGTAAGACTGGCCTTTCTCTGGCATTTGTCGACCACTCAAGGCCACCTGGTGAATGACTTAATGCAGTGCAACACCTTCAAAAGGAAGAGCATTCGATCAAGGGCCTCAACCATTTTTGACTTTTGGACTTGGGAAGCCAATCTTGAAAATCTCAAGCAGATTGGTGCAATTCTTGTAAGCTTCCAACCTCGAGCTATTCCAAGCTCTGTTGAAAGCTTGAACCTCAGGCCAAAGAAGGACGATCCACAACAAACTTTTGGGATCTTTTGGGATCATACTTACAGGTAGCAACACAGGTAGCAACACAACCTAGGTTCATTCACAAAAGCTGTCCGTCAGAACTAAGTGCTACGCAGCTCATGACATGAAAGCCGGCCAGCGCGAAGCTTGAGCCCATTTGGCCAACGAATGGTCAGAGGTGGTTCCCTTCGGTTCCCTCCAGGTGCTGGTGAGGATGGCAGATGAAACGGTCACCATTGAAGTCGAGTCCATCAAACTTCAAAGCGGCCCAATCCTGTTCTTAGGACCTGGCATCTTTGCTGAAGACTCGGGTTGAAACTTCCGCGCCTCCAAAGTTGACGGTACTCTTGGACTGCAGCTTCTCAAGTTTGTCGCACTGTAATCCAAACTGAGATTTGATGACGACATGGCTGAAGCAGCAACTGCACACCTTCCACACTCGCGGTTCCTGAACGGGAACACTCAATTTCTAAAGACAAGACCTTCAGAAGGCTTTTGAATTCAGGAGTGAGCCTGATCCAATGACAACAGTCTGAAAGGAGCCACAAGATTGCTGAAAAACTGTGTAAGGTCAATATGTCTAAAGTCTAAAACAAACAAACGATTCTCCCAAGAAAACGGCATGATTCAAACACTTCACGGAGATAAGTGGGAGATGCTCCTTCTCCTTCTCAGCTTGCTTGCCACGGCCTCCCAGAGGGGTCCAATTTCATCTCAGCTGCGTCTCGATCCCAGCAGCTTTGCGTCTCGATTTTCACTCCCGGTTTTGGATTGGTTTGTTGAGCACATCCGCACAGCTTTTTGTGTTCAAAGCATCTGTTCCGCTGAAGGGCAGCTGCAATGCCGGGCTAAGGCATCGTCTGCAAGGCGGGAAGTAAATGAAGCATTCAAAATGTGAAAGGATGTGGAAAAAATGGCAGCCAGGTCAAAAAGATTCAAAAAGAACCTCACAACTCCACTTCGAGTTTCTTCGCAAAACCAAACCATGGTGACCATACCTTGTTGCTGAGCATTTTGCAAAGAATTGTATAAAACCCTTTAAGTTCCCACCAGACCTTGTGCCGCGACATATCCCTCTTCTCGCGCCGTTGGGGCCCCACATCGCAGCAGGCGTCCACCCTGGCACGCATCGTTGTGGCTGCACGCTGCAGCTTCAAGTTCTCTTTTGACCTCAATGCTTGTGTCTTGAGACAAGAATCAGGATGCATGGAAAGAGGAAGAGGTTGAACTCACAAGAGCACAATCAAAAATCTAGTATATTCTAGTATGTGTGGTGAAGAATTCACATCAGCCAGGACTCACATAAACATCATCTGGACTCCTTCAATCAGAGCTTGAGTTTGCCATGCTGTTTTGTCAACTCATATTAAAAACTATGTTGCTCGTTTCTCTGCCAAGTGGCTTTGGCGGAGGCAGTTCAGGCCTTAACGGAATGATGAGATCACATGATAGTAACCAAATGATACCAAATGTATGAGATGCCGACGATGACAGGAATCTTACAGGAACCACAAAAGTCCCCTGACAATGCGTCCAGTATTGCAGAAACCAAGAGATGATCCCTGAAGCTCAGTCACTGTTTGTAGTGGCCGTAAACACGGGGGATCTCTGGAGCACCTGCAGGTCATCTCGAAGAAATCGTGTAGACCGACAAACAGGATGACAAAAGAAGAGAACAAAAGAAGGGAAACTGATTTCAGGAACATGTTTGGTAGGTCCATGTCAGATACACCAAGCATGTTCCAACAAACTTCTGGTCCTCACTCCGTTTTCTACTGTAGTATCTCTATTCCTTTCTTCACTCTGTCAAGGCTCGCCTTCGCTAACTTTGGCGGGAATCTCGCTGAACTCAAGCTGCTCCCATCGAAACCTCAGAGTATCAGGGTGTTGCGTGACCTTGTCATCCTGTGCTCGGAACGCATGTGCTGCACGTGCTCAGAAGCGGGCTTGTGAAGGAATGTATAGTACGAAAAGGCCATGAAAAGCACCTGAGCTCAACGGAACATGCTTGGGTGTGCGCGCAAGGTGCACCCTGGATTGAAGAGACTTTGCAATCAAAAACACTTGAGTGATGAAAGTGCAGCCAGAACACACTCGAACCGCAAAGTACTCCTGGGATGTAGTTGGGAGCCCGTTGCAGCAGCAACACTGTCATGAGGGCTATGTACCTGATGTTCATTGAACAAGGAACTTGCAAACTTGATCAAACTTGCCTGTTCAACTGTTCAATCAGAATCTTCTGCAGGGCTTCTGTTCACAGTTTCCACATACAGACTGCTCCAACCATTGGGTCCCGGATTCAACGCCAAGTTGCAAGAAGGTCCCCAGCTGCACATGTTTCAGCTGCTGGTGCCTAGGCTCATGTGCGCCGACCTAGTCAAGTCCTACAAAAATACGACGGCATTGGGTCGGACAAATTAATCCATGAGGTCACCTTCACAACCACCTCCGACATCTGTGAGACTGTACCAACTTCACCACTCCGTATATCTACAGTGCTGTTATGGTATCTACTTGACTTGTTAAAGTATCTCTATGGGATCAAGACTATGACTCATATGACTGCACAACGTGACTCACAAGTACCGGAGCAGGGTCTTCTTGGTGACATAGACCAACTGGAGCAGCCCACGTTTGGTTCAAAGGTGCGTGTGTTCATATCCTTATATTTACATAAACATAAATATCGTCAACACCTGCACAACATTCCAAGACCATGCAAAAAATACAACACATGCCCCACGTCTCTTCATGGACAGATCTTACCAAATTACGATAAATTACCAAAGCATGCTGTTCAACCAGCTGTCCCTTCACCAAGCTGCCAAAAGAGACCCCCAAGGTCCGGCTTGAGTGTTTCTGCGTAAACGAACCTGTGTCTTGTTCAAACAGGCAGCAAATCAAGAAACGAATTCTGCCGGTGCGACTTGTGACCTGCATTTATCAAAACCATGCTTCGACAATTCATCAAATTTGCAGGCTGAGAGGCAGATACGTGAAGACTATACGGCAAATTGCAAAAAGGATAGCACCAAGTATGGTGATCACAGGTGCCAGCGTACCTTGAGGCCATGGGGCCATGGGGCCATGGGGCCATCCCGATCCGGTTCACAGCAGAATCATCGGCAAAGAAAACACAAAAAGTTCTCGCTGCCAAGTCACCCAGGATGAGGACCACAACATAGCATAGGCTCAGTCGCGCACTGCGAGCCCCCATTCCATTATAATCCTCGCCATCAAGCCCTTCAAATCTGCTCCGTCTCTTCAAAAATATCTGTAGAACTACACGTATAGATCCTGCTAGAATGATGAGAATGTCTGTTCCTTCAGATGCTGTGGATGCAGACTGTGCGTTGCAGTCCTGATCCTCTGGTTCCGACTTTGCTATGGCAATCCGATCCTTCAACACAAACAGTTCGCAGGTTGCTACTTTGTGAATACCTCGCCTTTGACCAAAGCTGACCTTTTCGAACCAAGGGCTTAGAGGCTTAGAGGCCTACCGTAGGACCACTTGCAGGCCCCGAGTCCTCGTAAACACAACTGTGTATTCTGTACCGATAGAGCGGCATCAGTCGAAGAAGTGCGAGCGCATATATGCAGCACGTCCTCAGCACGTAGGAAATCCAACCTCTATCCATATAGCTCAATATAGTTGCACCACGATTTGCATTTTTTTACTTCATAGCTCTCAAAGCTGAGCCATTCGCAGGACGATAAAGTCCATGTAAAAAAGGGTGCAGTCGGCAAAGCTCTCGGCTAACACCTTCGGGATTTCCTGCGGGACTAGGAATCCACACCCATCCAACCCTGAATGTTCGAACCCGAGTTCAACACAAGTGCTACGTGATTGAGCGGGCCTTGGGATCCTTGAACAAGTCACCCAAACTGTTGGTGAGAGACTTGCCCACAGCAGTAAGGAACAGAACAAAAATCACCAAGTAGACATAGTACCATCTCTGGACCAAGTGCCTCATTTGCAAGTGCGCTGCAATGGCCAAGATTTAACAGTTAACAACTGTTAACATCATTGAAATGCTCAGAAAAGACAGGAATTGTTTGGTTCTAATCAACTAAGCTGCTGCAAGATTCCTCGTGCCTGCAGGATGGATACAACTTTTGATTTTGCTCTCTTGAACCAAGGCAATATGGAGGATTCTCCAACTTCTTCCAGAGAGTCCCATGCTTGAAATTGTCATGGATCCTACTGAATCTTCATAGATTGTCCATCTGAGACTGCTCTGCCCGGATCCAAAAAATTGATTGGCACCCACCTTCAAAACGAAGAAGTTCACCAAGATTGAGGCAATTATTGAGCAAAGAATTCCCATTAGGAAGATCCTAGAAGGCAAGAAAGGCTGTAGCACAAACTCAGCTTTGCAGTTTGATGTGTTTAAAAAATTGCGAAACCAACTTGAGAACCCACAGACTTTTGAGATACACTTTGCGCAAGACCGCTGTAATTCCTCTGCAGGCAAAAAAACGACTTTCATGGCAACGAAAATGAATGTAAGGTCCATTTTGCTAAGTATCAGCACCAGGGGTGCAACGATCGCATCGGAAAAGACTGCAACAACCTTGGATGATGAGAATCCAACACGCAGTCTCCGCAGATAATCTGTCAAAAGTTCAAATGGTAGCGAAGCCTCTGCTTTTGGTTGGAGAAGTGTTGGAGAAAAGGGGTTGTTGTGTGCTTGTGTGGGTGTTCCGAAATATTCCAACATACTCGAAGCAGCTGGATAGAGGTTCATGAACGATTTCACGTTGCTATCGTTCTTCCTTGGCACAGCATGGCAATAACGATGGCGAGCAAGGCCCCAACGAAAACACACTCAGCCAATCTGTCTAGATTCCAATCAACCAGGTCTAAGTGGATCACTCCCAAACTGCAACCTCTGTAAAGCTGGCGTTGTAGGCCACCTTCGGGAGCAGGGGCAAAACAGGGGAAGCAGGTGTCTGCCTGTCTGCCTCGGAGCGTCCATGCGTCCATGCGTCCGCTGAGCTTCAGGCCAGGGGTACAAAAATCACAAAGACAAACGCCAGCAGGAAGTAGCCGGTGAAATCATACAGCCATTGCCTCTGGATCAACTTGGAACTTCCGTCGCACCAAATGATCCTGTAATGTCCCTTCTACATGTTGTGTTCCAACGACAGCCACGTTGCGATTGGGAAGGTCGCAAGTCATTCCAAATGACATCATCAGTGTCTGGTGGAAGCTCTGCCTGATGCTTCTGCGATGGAAAGGCTTCAGCCAAACTTGTGATGTGAAGCTGGGGCCATTCTTCATTGCCATTTCTATTAGTTCTTTTGTCAGGGGCTTCAGACAAGAATCGATAATGTCTTCATTGCCACCAGGTGCAAAGAGCTTCAGCACAATCACTGCATCATGTCGGTCGTGGAAGGACACAAACCTTGAGGAGAAAACAGTCCACCTTCCCAAACAACATACCGAGTTCTGACAGATCATGGAGGGAGTTACGCATTTTGAACATAAACTTCTTTAAGATGCTGATTCCATCTGATTCCCTTGTGTCTTTTATCTTGTAGAAAACTGCCAGCATCCAACTGGAGCAGCTTAGATAGCTTAGCTTCCAAGTGACGCAAGATTCAGGTTATAGTCATCGCTCTGCTCAATGATACCCTGCAGCTTGGCGACTTGTCCCTCCACCTTGCAGCATCTTGCAGCAGTGTGGGGAGTGCAGCTATGCAGCTATGCACTGGTCGTCACTGGTCGTCACTGGTCGTCACTGGTCGTCACTGGTCGTCACTGGTCGTCACTGGCCGTCGGCCTTGGACATTTCGGCCCGGGCAATTGCTTTTCGTCTTTCATGCACCTCTCCCTGGCGTCGTCCGAAGCTAGGCAAATAGAACCAAATAGACAATGTCCTTGTCCTATTGAAAGTATTGTAGAGTTTAGGGACAATTTGGCGACTGGGGTATTTCATAAAAGGGGGGATCGATGCAGAGTCAGGTTTCAACAAGAGAAATGCCAGTTCCTGCGACTTGATCCTGATGCTCTGACATTCTGATGCGCCTGCACCAATTTTTGCAAGTCCTACAGATGCTTGATTTCAAAACAACATCTAAGATGATGCATCACTGAGTGAATCCCGACAGTGTCTCTCCTCATTGTAGCGAGCACGCTCCGCAACGAGCTTGTCCAGCTGGTTGGTATCCTTCACAAAGCTCACAGATTGCAGAACTTCACCTTAGCACAGTTTTGATGGTTGAGCAGCGCTACGAGAAACACCAGTGGAGGCCTCCAGTTTACCACTCCAAGGAACGGTTGCTGGCTCCAAAGATCTGTTCCTCCAAAAAGGTCCGTAGAGCAGACTCCTGGATTTCGAGCATCAAAACGCATGGAGAACCCTGTTGATGCTCTATCTGGCATAGTTCTTTGCACCTGTTGAAGCTGATGTACCGGTGACTTGGCGCTGCTCCTTCATGAGATTGTCAGGCAGGTTGGAAAGCAATACAGAGTTTGCGCGCGGCTCCGTCATGGTCCTGTCGCGGTCACTGAAATGGAAAGTAAAAGAAACAAAACCCCACAGCCTTTGAGACCTGCAAAGACTCTTCTGGCAGCAAACCATGGAATATATATTATATATCACACACAATCTACCAATGAATCTTTGGCCAAGGGTCCGAAGCCATTGGTAACGTCGCTCCACAAAAGCCCGCTGGGCTCTGAAAATAAAGGCCTCAAGAACAGATGTTGAATATGGGTGGTTGCGGGTGAAACTGCCGACATGTGCCACGGTCGTACCACTTGACTTGCCTTCGCACCAGCTTCAACATAATTCAACCATATCCTGACCTGAGGTGACGCTATGTCAACTTTGCATCCTACCTGAGTGACGACCACGGTGTACCAAACGAAGATGGGATAAAGATAAGTGATCCAGCTACCTGACAGGTTCAGGAAATCTGCCCTGCTGTACCGTCTCAAAGTCGAAGGGCATGACTGCTGATGAAAAAGACGAGGCATAGATGATCATAAATGACTATGCGCGAATTCATCATGGATCCTTCACCAGGTTCTGCCATGCCACCTTTAGCCACGTTCGCAAAGCCCAGCAGCCCGAGGTTACTGGCTGTGCCAGCTCCCACCAAGGCGCAAAGTGGACAAAGGATCAGCAGGGCGGGCAGTCCGGTCGACCTCCGAACTGAACGGCTCCAGGATTTCGCAAGAAACACAAGTCACAAATATCACAAATTACCCCAAATATCCCAAGCAGTGAGGCCAGTAAGGCCCTGTGTTCAACAGCCTTTTCGAGTTTTCGAAATAAGGGGCAGTCAGACTCACTGAGGTAGTGGCAAAAAGCACATGACAGCTGCATCGCAGAATTGGACCAGCATCCCATGATCCAGATTCGAGTGGTTCGCAATCTCATCCACAGGAAGCCTGCCGTCACTCGCAAGCTGTCTTGATATGTTTTGATGCTCCTAGGCTTGTCAGATCTTGTTCTGGTGCCTCCAGCACACAGTCATCCACCCAAAGCTGGAGCTTATATCTGGTGGAACTTCCCCATGGCTTCCTGGATCATTGACCTGTTCAGGAGCATGCAGGGAATTTGACCAAGTTTTGAGTTTGGGATACAGACATGCAAAACCACGCATCTCGCGTTCAATAGAACAGCCCTACCTTCTTGAGATAAACCGCCGGATACCGATCTCTCACACAGCCAAACAGGCACAAGGCCATGAGGATCACCGTCAGACTGAAAGCGGAGGCTGCACCAAAGACTTCGAAAGAATTTGGCCTGAGGCTGGCAGTTCAGAGCCTAAAGAGCGCAATAGGATAGAACCAGAACCGGTGGGGAATAGTTATATATGGGCCCCCCTTCCCTCTGAGGTAGCAATCCCCGGTACTTAGGGGCCCTGGATCTAAGCTAGAAGGCTATGAACACTTGTGGTCAACAGTCGGAGTGCAGCACCTTTTCTGTAGCTACGCTAGCAAGTCTTGAGCCACGGAGTGGCGCAGTGGATGATGTGAATTAAAGTGAACATGTCACATGGTAT